TCATTCTGAACGGTCGAAGTCGCAGGCGACAGCTATATTAGTATAGATTGTCATTAGACAAACATTTTAATAAATATTCTAATTAATATTTTACGAACTCTAATGCAATGAACATAAAATCATTTAAAATGATAAGACGATCAATTTTTCTTTATAAATCTTAAAAAAGCATGTCAACAAGCTTGGTGTTATTACCTTGACATTAAGCGTATTTGAATTTAATAAAAAGGTATATATGCATATCCTTGTTATATAACGATTAAACAGTTAATGCACAATCAGATATATATATCTGCACTCAAAGAGATTAAGATAAATAATATTTATTAGTAAAAAAACATGTAAGAAAATTTATGTAATGTCCCCACCATCACTGATTTATTTTAATATCTTTGAGTGCAAAGATAAATATCTAATTGTACATTAACTCTAATCTATAATTTTAATCGCCATTTAAGAGTCAATAATCACGTGAGGTCCAAAAAGTTCTGAACAAAATACGAAATATCACGTGTACTGGGAGTCTACCAAGAAATGTCACGTGATAAACTACGACCCCTATTAAATTGCATTCGATTTGAGTTGTAAAATGCAGATACGTTAATGCAATCTAAAATATATCTTTAAACCTAAACAATTATCTTAATCAGTACAATATCATATTAAGCTATGATTAGATAACTAAATCACTTTATTATAATAATATTTTAGTATATTAATTAAAAATATCCATAATTATAAAAAAAAACACTCCAAAAAAGTCCGGAAAAACTACGGTACATTTATGACAAATGTTGCTAAACACTACACTAAATTACGAACGAAATAGTCCTTGCTCTAGTAAATCCTACTATATTATATATTTACTATCATACCAATATTATTATATATAGCAATATTTAAGCGTCAATAGCATAATGGTTAAGGGTACGGATTTCCGATCACGAGTTCGGGGGTTCGAATCCCGCCATTCGACTATTATCGTAAACCATATACTAGCACAAGCCTAGAGCTTAGTTGGAACGGTAAAAGAGATATTAGTGAATTTACTAAAAAAATCTGCTAATATTTATAAAAAAAAATTTCATAAATGCGCAAGTAACTCTGTCTATCTGTCTCGCTTCCACGCCAAAACTACTGAACCGATTAAAATGAAATTTGGTACCCAGATAGCTTAGGCACCGAGAAAGGACATAGACTACTTTTTAACGTGATTTCCAAACCCTTATAACCCATAAGGGTTTGGAAATCAGAGGTTGCAAAAGTTTAACCTGTTAGGGTTCAAAACTGAATAAGGAATGAAAGTTTGTATGGGAATGTGTGTGTGTTTTTTTAAGTTAAATAATTAACCTAAAATGCTACTCAGACAGTAAATCTCACGAACGAAGTCTAGGGTACATATAGCATAGATCTAAAATACTATGTCTGTTTACAAAACTGATTTAATGTCTATTTTAATCCTTAACATCTAATCTTTTGACTAGATTAGCATAACATGTATTTTAGGAAGTCTATCGCATCCTTGAATGTATGCAAGTAAATATATTGATTGTCGTTAATGCAGCGTCTGAAATGTTTGAATTTATTATTCAGGAGGTGATTGTTATCATAAAATTATAGCTATTTTCTATAAATAATAAATATATAATAAATATATATCGGTTATTTATATACACACTCACCCAAAATCATCAGAATTCTTCTTTAATTTGACTAATTGTTACTAATATTATTATAAAAAAGCGAAAGTTTCAATGGATAAGACTTTTGTAACCACATATCACTAGAAATGCACGTGAAGGGTTGAAATTTAGATGCATTGTAGCTGTACTTTTTTAATTTATTTCAAGACTCACGCGCCCTAACCTATACTAATTCAAAATGTAACGATTTAATTTTTTTTTAGACAACGAAACTACTAAACCTATTTGAAAAATTCTATCACTGCTGTCAAGCTACATTACCGGGGTGACACAGACTATATAACTTTTTTTTTAATTCCCATCGGACAAAGTCACAGATATCTAGTAAATAAAAGTCCTCGTCATTGAGGACAATTTTACGCAGTGTCTTATTTGAGACGATGACATCATTTCAATCATAAAGTACATGTATTTTCTCGCATTCTGTTGGTACATTAGTCACGTAACGTAACCATAATAAATACAATTCTATAACAACGCGATAGAGCCGTCACTGTTAGTAAACTTCGCTACTGTCTAAACTCTAAACTCAAATGTTGTTAAACTAGCTGTCGCTCATGACTCCGACCGCGCGGAAAAAAAAAACTTTATTTGTCTATGTTTTCTTCCAGACTATGTTCTACATGTATGTCAAATTTCAGAGAGATCCATACAGCCGTTAAGGAGATACCGTCAAACAAACATCCATCCATCTAAACATTCGCAATTTTAATATTATTAAGATAGTAAGAAGTATGATTGTTCAGAATTAATATATGAAGTCGTGTATTCTTAATGTCTGTTTTATTTTTAAAAACGATAATAGATTTTAAATTAAATTTTATAAAAAAAGAAATGATTCATAACTGTTTCCTTGTGTTAATACCTACCTTACTAATATGGAAGGATGGATGGATAGTAGTTGGTCACAACGATAAGAACGGCTGCATGTATCTCAGTGTAAATATGACATAGATATAGAACACAGTCTGGAAGAAAACATAGGCTACTAATTAACTTTTTTTTTAAATCGGTGCGGACGGAGTCGCGGGCTACAGCTAGTAATGTATAATAATATAAGTATTAATAATGATTATAGTATTGTTTATCTGAATTTGTTATCTAAACATTAAAGATGGCAGTATTAACCTCACTCAGTGTATAATGGTGTCACATAAAATTATGCATCTTTGGATGAATATATTAACATAATGCATAAATATATATACTTCAATTTTTTATATTATTTTAAAATACCAACACGTTTTTCATGAGTATAAATTAGTGTACGATTTCTATTATAATTTATTAACTCTGTAGACATGAACGATGACACATATCAGTCATACTATTTGGTCCCAGGGAGCCTTTAGTGTTAAAAATCAGATGTCTTCCGAATTAAGCCGTAGACTAAGTAAAATGTGTTATTTTTAGTTCTTACTTTGCTGATATCAAATATCAAATTATCTCCCTTAAAAAATTAGGATCAAGCACCCCCTATAAGCATCCTGAATCCACATCTGATTTACAAGTACAGAACAAAATAACGTATCTCTAATCAAGCCAATTAATGAGCAATCCCGGTATCTTATCAGACATTTCTAACATGCACCCTATTTTTAAGGGTTTTTTATTGGGGGAAGGCTTTATCAGTGTTATGTGGAACTATGTAATTCGCAGACTTGTGACGCCTCTTCCTTTCCAGCGCCAAGGCTTAACCGCGCCCTACCCTAACGCCGTTACTAAGTAAGTCATAAAAAGAAACTGGTTTTGAATTTATAATCAGTTACTTTATACTGAGACAATATTGTGTAGAATTCGAACATATTTAAGATTGAATAACATATATACAACTGTCACAATAAGAGCTATAATTAGGCACATATGTATGTTAATCAGACAAGTTTTCAACCTAATTGCAGTTATGCATAAAATTGGTAAGAAATGGTTTTTGATTGTACATTGTGCATTATACGGTGAACTTGAGTTGACATTCAAATCATCTTCAAGGAAAACCCAAAAGATACATATATAAAAATAATTATTTAAGAAAAAAAAAATAATGATGTTTACAGACAACTTCTTTGTTCTTATAAAGAGGCCACGTCTACTAAATTGTACATCTTTATTTTAAAAAAAAAATATAATTGACAAAAACTATAATAATGTAACATAATAAAAATAAAATTTAACAACATTTTAAGTAACTTCAAATAATATTATACAGCTTCTTTTTTTTAATATCATTAACTGCCCGTTTTTATGAAAAAAAAAGCAAAAAAAAAGATAATATTGTCCCTTCCTATGCCTCTTCCTCCATCACATCCAAAAAAAAAATACAGAAGGCTTTTTTATTTTAGTAGAATTTTATTGCATTTCTAATGCCATCTGTTAGAAGATTCTAAAACCAAAAAGGTATGTATGTAAAAATCCCAATTTAATAATCTGTACATTAACAAATATAATTTTCTTTAATTACATTTTGCAAATCATGACAAGGTCTTCATGGCCTCTTAAAATATCGCTGGCGCCTAGTATTTATCATATTGTTTTTTTTTTCTAAGAAAATAAGAGTGATGACACACTATAGTATTTCTATAGGGCATTGACAGATCTTGTATATGAACAAAGGCTTTTCACATCAAATGTCAGATATGGATAAGGTATTTTCATAACAATACTTTGGTTGTGACACAGGAAGGGCATTGTTTTAACAAGTTTATTCAACTCCAAGAGAACCAATTTTAATTTCTTCTATCAAAACATATATAGAATTATGAATATTAAGCTTTTTACAGTGAAATTTAATGACATAGAACAGGATGAGGTGTGCAACGAAGAGCCGATATCATCCCCAAAAAATATATTTTTGTCTCCCTCATTCTCTTTGAAATATATGAGATATCAAGATCAGATTTATCAATATGTTTTCCTAGTTTATGGGCAAAAGAAACTCATTGTAATTACAAGATGGTACACACTACATCACCTGTATAGTCTACTCATGAAGATATCTATTGAGAATAAACAGTGGTATTTCATGAGAATTATTGTAGAAAATTTATTTATATAAATATGAATTTATCAATATTCCTAGATATTTTGAAATTGCAACAAATTATACATCTACTATTATGGATGGATGTTGAAATTTAGCATTTATGTAGTAAAAATTACAGAAAAACTAGTAATCTACGAATAAAGTTTTCTTTTAATTCGGCGCGAATAGAGTCGCGGGCGACAACTAGTTTAAAATAAACTAGTTAGTCAATAACAAGCACAGATAAATGTTTTTACATTAGTATGCATATTACTCACGATCTAATTTATTATCGCCGACTTTTGTCACAATGTTTATACTCCACAATCAATTGTAACTAACATAAGTTAGTCTTTGTCACTAAAAATCCATGTAACAGCAACAATTTATCTCTAGTTTTTAAAAATATTTACACCGTTGTATTAGCATTTTTCTAGCAACGTTTTATTGTTCTAATTGAATTAAAAATAAAACGAAACGAATATTGTCCCAAGGAGACAGTACACGGTACACAGTGTTTACAAATGAATACTCATTCAAAAAAAGAGCGTAATGATATCAGCTGGAACGCTGTCACAATCACAAGACAGACGTCAACAATGAATTGCCATAAGAAAAAACGAAATAATGACAGAAATGTTTGCTCAACAATAAAAAGAATGAATAAACAGACTTTTAGTAGATTATAATTTATCTATGATTACAATGCGGGTTATATTAAAAGTTGTGAAAATTGGCTAAAACCAATTGATGACAAACTTTTATAAAGAATTTATTTCTGGCAACAAGCTAGCTGGAGAAAAGCACACATCTAGAACACCGAGGATTTACCTAAAATTAAAAAATATATATATTTCAAGGATAAAATTCTATATCTCTTGAATGTTCTCTTCTTAAATATTACATGATTTAATAAATTCACATTCTAAATTAAGTACTAATTCAATGCCTTTTGTTTTATATTAGCAAATTATTGTGTAGTGATCGTGCTGCTATTCCATTTAATCATGTACTTTTAATGAAAACTGAGATGTACATTTAATATACATTGTAATATAATTTTTCAATACGGTTCATATGAATTGAACTACAAATTATTTTTTTGACCGTGTTCTTCACTAACTCAATTCTCTATCACTTTTATAACATATCCCTATAATCTCTATAATAGAGAAAAAAATATTACCAGTATTGTAACCTTTTTCCTAACTAACCAGAGAATTCTAATTTTAACGCCCAATCGGAGTATCTATCTACCTTTTAATATCTTGTAATTTTTAAAATTCAACAAAAGAGGTTTTTTTCATAGTTCCACGCAATCCAGTATCAGGCAGGCCTAAGTTTTTAGCTTTTTTTGCTCAGTAATTGCAAGCAACGCAGTTGTAAAATAGACAATAGTGTCCTTGGTAATTATAGGTATTTATTTTATTTTTAAGCATTTTTAATATAAAAAAAGATTAATAATGGCTCTGGTCTCTATATCGGAGGAAGGAGAAGGTGGCATAGCGTCGTTCATAAAGAATCTAACCTTTAACCCATATTTAAGCAAAACATACCATATAGCAAACACCGTTCCGCGAAATAGATTAAGACCTTCCATTTAATAATTTTACTTAATATTTGTTCATTGTACGCGAGTTTCACAATATTTGTGCAATGTTTATAGGAAGCAACTAAATACGTCGGATTTTCGTATATCGAAAGTAAAAAGTTACATCCATTGTCTTTTGTTTGTCTTGGGTTTTTATCATCAATTATTAACACACTTAAAGATTTGAAAAAATAATTTTAAATAAAAATAAAAATATGATGCAAACATATTAGCGTTGTTTTACGATTTTTTCCCAAATATCGACATAAGAAAGTTAAATACCTTCTAAAAGATAGGGACCTGAAGTGGTTAAACCCACCCCCAATATTTTGAAGAAATCTTGATAATATAATATATTATTTTAATGATATACTCTAGAGACAGGATTTGAGTACCTAATTTAACCATAAACTGTTACGTACTTTTACTTAAAAGTAGAGTTATTCTTAAAATAACATTAAACCCTAACCTCTATGTTAACAGTCCTGGATTTATAGCTGCCAACAGGTAACCTAGTTGCCTAGCAACCGAAACAATTAAAAACTAGATGTTATACTAATGTATCCATTATGAATACTTAAATAAATTGAAAAGGCACAATTGTGAATTTATAAAAATAGCTGTCGCCCGCGAATCCGTCCGCGCGGTATTAAAAAAAACTTAGTAAGTAGTCTATGTGTTCTTCCGGACTATGTTCCACATCTGTGTCAAATTTCAGCGAGATCCATGCAGCCGTTCTAGAGATACCTTCTAACAAACATCCATTTATCCAAACATTTATAATATTAGTATATTATAAATATGAACATAGATTGTAATATAAACTTTTTTTTTCGACTTCAAAGCTACCTAAAGATTTGCACTAGTAAGTAAGTGTGTTGTAAACAAGCTTGACGTTTTATACAAGATGACGTAATTTGGGCAATACCATTTGCTGATAACACATATGCTCAGGAACGATATTAATTGTATATTTGTCGCGTGTCCCAGTCTCTTGGCAGTTTTCAAGCGAGTTACATATTACTGTACCATTCAGTTAAAATATTTCGTATGTTATAAAGTGTAGTGTTTAAAATATATAATAAAACGCGTAAGTTTTTATTTAATTAATAATTTTAATGTAATTCGGTTAATTTTAAATTGTATTGTAAATATATTGAAATGTTTAGATGTTTAATTTGTTTATGAACGGTAAAACAAATGTTTACATCCATTCAACAATTAATTTTCATTCACAATCGAACTGGCAGTTTGTAAACAAATAAACAAAGGACTATTATTGTAAAAAAAACAACGCATAGTTCATGACACTGGCATAAAACAATAATAATTTTGTTTTCGGACAAGACAATTAGAAAAAACTTAAAAAAAAATAGAGAAAATATTTATTATCTTCTCTCGGACATTAATTAACGATTTTTAGCATTAAAATTTATAATAATTTTTTACTCAATTATACGTTAATAAAAAAAATTGTCTTACGTCATTTTTATCCTATATTAATAAAACTGAGATACAAAAAAGTATTGTTTGGGTATTTCATCAACGTAGGCGTTACCATTTTTTATCATTCGCATAATATAGTTAATGGATATTGTTTAATCTATAACGCACTGTTATAAAATAAATATTAATACTTATAAGATAATAAATTTAAATTAACTAATCGCAACGCTTAATTATAATTTTTGTTTTTTCTTTTTTTTGTGTGATGTTAGTTTGATTTTTGATTTTTTTCGTTTTTATTTGTGTTATAAGTGTTGTAATGTCTTTGAACGGATTAAATATCTTATTATTATTAATCTATAGTTGATCTCGCAAATTATTCTTTGATTATTATTTACTTCAAAACTCGGAACCGCCGAATATGTCTCTGCTTATTCATTTTTTAAATATATTATAAGGGTGTAAACTAGCAAGCACCCATCTGAATTTGCCCAAAGACATCCACAATTTCAGATGTATTGCCTACAATTAATCGATAAAGAAGGGAACGCATAGAAAGATAATATTTTTCTTTCCTACCCGTGCCCTCCTCCGTCAAATCCACTTCCTTATTAAGAAAAGTTGGCAAGGTAAAGACTAAAATTAGGCCACGCACGCTTATTACACGAAACGCGGAATTGCTTTCACTTGACACGTGTCTTCTGTAAGGTCGTGGTATTGCACCTGGCTAGCTGATACATTCGTGCAACGATGTTATGTTGGTCGCGTCTACCGCAGTTTATTCATGATGATATAGATGTTAGATAAATGATTCTTTTGTCGACAGTGCACTTATAACAACTATGGCTAACCAGCTGTCTATATCACGGAGGACCGCCCTGCAGACGTCCGAGCTGAAGAAGAGATCTAAGAAACCTTCCGTACGGGTCATCGTACAGCCTGTTGACTCTCACAGGTTATATATTATTTACATAGATATTTTACAGAAAATTCGAGCTAACTTTATTGTCAAAACCAAAGAGGTTTTCTCTAAAAAAAAGCTATATTTAAGCTAAATTATTTTTTTTATACTGAAAACATTATGAAGTGTTCTTGACCAATAAATAATAAAATACTTACACAGAAAGTAGTGTGGTGAAACATAACTTACGTTCGTAATATTCACCGGCCTGCAAAGGGTTAAACACGTGTCTACCTAAACAGTATCTAACTATATTTATTGGAGTAATATATAAATTTTTTATATCATTTCGGTAGTGCCAACTTTCCTATAGATAAGCATCTGATTTTGCAAATATTACTATTTGAGTTAAAAACATGATAACTGTGCTTTTACCTCTGTACAAGACCAAATTTCTAACAGCTTTCAGTACTATTAGATTTCCTTGCTTGTGAAGTTAGAGATAAGATAAATAATTTTGTTCTTATCATTTGATATAGGTCAATGTTTGAACTTAGTGAATTAGATGTGACTAACAATATGATTTTAAACTGATATTTAGGAAGCAATTCTGGATTTTAAATCTTACTCTTTACTATTATAATATTATAAATGCGAATGTTTAGATGGATGGATGGATTTTTCCCGAACGGCTGTAAGTCTCTCTCTGAAATTTGGCATCGATGTAGCACATACTACGGAAGAACACATAGGCTTTTATTTAAGTTTTTTTTTCATACCGTACGGACGGAGTCGCGCGCGACATCTATTTACAGATAAAAAGAAGATGACCAAATGATATTTTCGTAGGTTTCGTTACAAGTCTGAAGGTCGGTGGGCCGGTTCGATTCCCGGGGTAAACAAGAAGGGTAACAAGGAGGGCTACCCTACCATAGAGATCAGCGGTTGCCCCGATGGTAAGGCCGCCATTTTGGTTTCCTGCGTCACAAAGGACTCGCCCTACAAGTTAGTTAATATACCAAAAGTGCATGGAAACAAGTCTCAAATGGAATGCGCTTCTTCCGTTTCAAATTTCGCTTCTTTTATCGCATGTATCAGTACCCGGTATATTTATCAATTCTCTTGTCTATTTCCTGATAATTTTGATCATTGTTATGTAGCCAGTACTTTTGTACATCTTGCGGTCTTTATTTTGCTAATATTTTCGCATGAAATTTAGTTCTTTGGACATTTAGCCTTCGTCGCAGCATGTTGTCCATTATCATGGCATATTTTTTCAAATATTGCATGTAATTTAGTTCTTTTAATATTCACATATTTAAAATCAAATACTATTTTTACGTGTTGTAACGTGCAGGACACACCCGCACGGCGTGGTAGCTCGAGAGATGTATTTGTCTGAAGAGGAAGTAAGGAAGGGAGCGTGCAAGGTGGTGGTGGAACTGACCGGAGAAAGTACTAAGGTCTCCTTCAACAACATCGGCATCCACAGCTGCAAACAAAATGAAGTTAAGGAGGTCCTCGAGACGCGGCGTAGCCTCGGCGTCGACCCATTTGGAAGTGAGCTCATTTTCTAGTATTTACAGACTATTTCACTCCCTCTTATTAAGACTGTTGTTATCCTGCTCGTTTTTCATAACACGATTTCTTTGTTTGTTTTCGTTCCTTCAAGACAAGTGTCATTCCTTTGTCAAAAATATCTCACCTTAAACACAGGTCCCGCGTCTTAGGGTTATTTGGAATAACAAAAGTTTTAAACGATCTGCTACTTCTACTTTAAGGTCTTTAATAATATTAATAATATTAATCTCATAAAGCACAAATGTTCCCTCCCGCTGCATTCGTGAGCAAAACCTTAAACATGTTTATATTTCTCAGGCGGTTTCGACTACTGCCGCGAACCGAAGAGTATCGATCTGAACGCGCTGCGGCTCTGCTTCCAAGTGTTCGTGATGGATAAGAAAGACAACATTCGTCTAAGGCTGCCGCCCGTCGTCACCAACGTCATACACGACAAGAAGACGCAGGGCGAGCTGCAGATCGTCCGCCTCTCGTGTCAAGAGAGCCCCGCCACCGGCGGTAGATTTGTTATACTCCTTTGCAAAAAGGTCACTCAGATTGATTAGATTTATCACTTAACTAAAGCCTTTCTCTCGAAAAGGATTTGTATTCCATCCATCCATAAGTAATGTGTGGATCATCTAATTCCAAGTACCGCGTTACAGGTGAAGCCGTCTGACACCACGGTGGTGTTCGTGCAGGGGAGCGAGGATTGGGAGGTGGCGGCGAGCGACATCAGCTCGCACCAACACGTCGCCTTCTGCTTCAACACGCCGCCATACAGACACACTGACATTACCACCAACGTCACGGTACTTCTACTTACATATACATCACCACATCATTCCACTGACTCGTTCCCTGCTTACATAAATAAAAAGATTGTGGGAAACTTATAACGGTGGTGGGACATACTTTGTGTAGGTTTCTTTACTCTATCTTGATTGTGAGCTTGCAATGATAGTGATATAATTGTGACAGGTGAGCGTGCAACTGAAGAGACTGTCAGACAACGCGCGCAGCGAGCCCGTACAGTTCGTGTACACTCCGCCGCGCACAGGTTATATTATACTCATGTTATACATGCTAATGTTTAAATAAATAAATGAATGTTTGCAACAAAGTGTCACCATAACGGCTTAACGGATTTCGATGAAATTTAGCTCAGATGTAGAGCACAGTCTGGAAGAACACACAGGCGACTAATAGTTTATTTTAATTCCGGTGAAACGGAGTCGCGAGCGACAGGTAGTAATGAAAAGGCAAAGCTATTGCTGAGTACAGCCACGTGGCAACATTTCCCGCGTCCTCTACTCTATGTTCACTCATGTATGTACGAGTGAATGTGTCGTCCACATATAAAGCGCGGGAAAATGGGACAAATGCAAATGTAAAAAAAATTACAGCTACATAATATTTCATCTTATACAGTTTTTTATTTATTTTTTAGTAGATAAAAAGAAATACACTGAAAAGAAACCGCTGTCAGCCTGGCTACAGAATGGTAAATATTTATTCTTCCTCTATTGATTTGTTTGCCTTTTTATTGTTTTTTTTTTAATTTGTAACGTTTCATATTGTTGTAGCAAATTTACCGATGGAATCAGAAAGTTCGCCTGAACAAGGTTAGTTGTTATATTTTAAGTAAATTCAAATAAAAATAATCAAACATTTCAATTGAAATTATTTGTTACAGTTAGATATACTCCTGCACAAAGTCCAATGGAACAAGAACAATTTCCCACAGAGACGAAGCATTTGCAGGTAACTTCTCTGCTAACTATAAAATTATTTAAAACTTAGTTTCACGTCTGTCTTTTGTGACGTTGTTGGCTCTACCATTACATGTTTTTACGATTCTTTAACCGACATCAAAAGGTTCGCAAGTCGTCTGTATGTTTATGCGTTTCTTGTAACTTTGCTCTTGGTAGATTTTGATAAAGATTTTTCTAAATAAATGTTTTAGGACCGTATCCTAACTAAAGTAGTGAAGTGAAAAATTGTTAGATACTGATTTAGTAACAGTCTCCCTGGACAAAGTGCATTCGTGCCAAAGCAATTTCATAACGAAGTTCAAAAACGTGTGTAAATGACAATCACGCGACTTATGGAAAGTTGGTGTCAGTTTTATACATTTTTGAACTCCGTTATGGAATTGTTTCTGAACACTTTCTCCATTGTACTCTAGAAAGTTTTCGCATGAGATAATCTAAAATTACCTTCAGCCGTGGCCTGTGGACCTTCCCCCGATGGTAGGGCCGAGCCCCCACCAGCTACAGTACCCAGTCCACGACATGTCCTGGATGGACAGAAGCTACGTCCAGCTGGAGCAGTTGCCGCATGTTCCCAGGTTGCAGACGACGCCGCACGCTGCACACTGCGACTACTCGATCACGTCACGGGATCCTAGTTTGTCTCCGGCGAGGAATCTAAATCCTTTCTTCTCTCATTATGAGGAAAATGTCCTTATTATGGATAACAGAGTAAGTGGAGAGAAGAGTATTAAACGACATCTCCAGTCAAACCTGGTTAAGCGAGATTCCAATGGACTGTTTTTCTCTCTTATAGGGGATTTTCGCTTACCCAGATTCGACTGTACACTGTTTAGGTTTATATTAATTGTATTATTTCTCTATATATTAAATATATTATCCTTTGTTTCAGTCAGAATGTCATTCTGTTTCACCCATATTTGCACCCTCGCCCGATTTAAACACGGGACAAGGGGAAGTGGAAGAGATGCAAGTAAGTTTGGAAAAGTTCTCTGGATTATTAGAAGAACCAATCAGTGACCATTTGAATGAACTTTCTATAAAGGATTTCGTTGGCGGTGATTCGCCTAAGATTTAGTCAGGCAGTAAATGTTAAGGACAGAAAAAAATGCCACCGAAACGATTCATTGTTGTTACGTTAAAATTATAACTTTGGTATTTTAAATCAGAACCAAAACTTTATATTTTTGGATTTTTTTTTTCATTATAACATTACATTTGGTAAAAATTTGATGTTTATTTACAAAATCTGTAAATGATCGATTGTTATGTGTAAAAATTTTACGAATTTTATTTTAAATATTTATCTCATTTCGTACTACCTCATCTTTACATGTTATTTTTTTTATATTAACGGGTATTTTATATATAAATCTATGTAAACTTTATTTACTTTTAACTGTGCCAAAGAAAGTATTGTTTAAATATGTTAAGCATTATTTTTAAATGTAATATATCGCATTATATTGCACTCGCTAGAGTCTAAAACTGTAGACCACTTTAAAAGTAAACTAACTCAAAACATTCATTAGAATAAGTAAGATATAAGAAAACGACCAAAATATTGACATTCTGGTTGTGACTAGAAATTGAATAGAAAATAAATAAATTACAAATTATGTATTTTTATGGTTTTAATTGAATACTAGCTGTCGCCCGCAACTCTACACCAAATAAAAAACCAGTAGTCTATGTATCCTTCCAGACTATGTTTTACATCTATTACAAATTTCAGAGAGATTCAAGCAGACGTTCTGGAGATGACTTCTTACAAACATCCATCCAAACATTCTCATTTAAAGGATTAGTAAGATGTAATTGGTAAAACATAAATTTACTAATATTAATGTACCATTTCAACTAAGCTCTAGACTTGTGCTAGGATATGGTTTACGACAATAGTCGAATGACGGGATTCGAACCCCCGACCTCGTGATCATAAATCCCTACTCAACAATTACGCTATTAGCGCTTCAAAGTATTTTATGCCATTACGAAAAATTGACTAAGGATAAAATTATCACAAAAACATTTCAAAGTAACATCAAAATTCTATATCAAACTACTTGTTGAGCGAGTGGACTGTATGTTGTAGTGAAAGGCTGGTTAGTTGCTGATGATTGTAATAAGAATGGAAGATGTACAAAATAGACAAATATGATTGATGTGTCGGCGCGCGGAGTGCTGAAGCGCAACTGAAGGTCGCGGTGTGAGGGCGCGCGGGGCGGCGGGTGAGGTCTGGAAGGGACCCCCGCGCTGCTTCCCCGCCGGTGGTTCCGTAGTACAGAACACTACTTAAGGTGTTGATAGAAATAAAACACCAGTTATGCCTACATATTTTTTATTCATCGAATAAATTACAAAAAGAAACAATCGCATACACTATAATTAACATGTAGAGGATTGTATAAATCTTATTGTAACCGACAGGGGGGCGACAACTGCTGCGGACTTGTGAACGTACGAGGTACACGAAACAAGTAAAATGTACAGATTTACTTGAATATAGATTAACAATAATATACTATAATAGTTATATAAAAACGGCTAAACACTCACGTATATTCGTCCGGTGGCGGCACCGACTAGTTTCGAGCCCATCGGGGGCCCTTCGTCAGGATGAGTGATACTGGTATTATTTCGCGGACGCGGCCCTCAGCTCACTCGGAGTGAGAATATACGTGAGTGTTTAGCCGTGTTTTTATATCAGTTTAGTATAATGTCTCACGAAAGTTTGAATAATTTTATAATAGTTATTATTAAAACTTTCCAGTAATAAATCGATGTTTTTCTAAACTTTTTTGGAGAGACGCAATACAACTTCAAATGCATATGTAAATTCTGTCTTATCTACTCCTTTTGGTTTTATCGTGACAGTGGTAGTCAACCTTTTTGCATCAAGAAGTCATATTTCTAAATAAATATTTAATAACATAGAAGCGCCATCAAATAGTTTAGAATTTGTGATTATTATGAATATTTCAAAGCACAAAAAATAACTCGTGTTAGTTCTTTATAAATTTTATTCTCGAAATACATCGCGTGCCATTAGTTCAGCACCCCTGGCCAACATAGAAGTGAGATTATTGTAGTCAAATTATAGGACTTTATTTTAAACATTATGTTTAGTTTCATGTACCTCGTGTTATTTATCTGTATTCAGCAAAAGCACACTGGAATGCTCCTCTAGAACCTACAATAAGCTAACCTCAACACAATCACACACTAAAAAAAAAGCCACGCTCTATTTATCTATCATTCTGACACAAAACTGACAAAACTTAGCATAAACTTTATATTTCATCGCTAATCTGATATACTCACAATATACAAAAATAGATAAAATAGATAAGAATAAAAAAAAAACAAATTTTTCAGCAAATATTATTGAGATCTCGACATACGAAATTCATACAAATATTATTTAACTTGGTAATAACTAAAAATTGATATTAAATTTGTTATAAACATTAAAATGTTGAAATGAGACGAACATGTGTTGCTTTAGTTAATTCATACTGCATTTTGTTGAGCCGGCTCGGCTAATACATTTATCTACAAGAAAAAAAATATTATTGTTGTGTGACATGCTTACATAGAGTCAGAGGTCAAGGGTTAAGCACTTGATTAGTCTACAGGTCCAGGGTATGAATCCCAACATATACCAATGTGTTCTTCGTTTGTCGATTTACATTCGAGGTTGTTACGGTGAAGGAAAACATCGTGATGCTGCACATATCTGAGAGGAAATTCAAAGATATGTGTGAAGTCAACCCGCACTAGGCCAGCGTGGTTGATTATGGCCAAGTCACCCTGAACTTAAGGTATTCTCCGAGCCTGTTTGTTAAATTAACTTGAAAAATACCAAATAAAATATTACTAAATATTATAGTGAAATGGCGAGCAATTTGATCCGGACGACAGAGGATGGAGGATGCCACTGTCCGAGTGCACATACCTTGCAGGTGTGGTCCGAGTGGTGGATGGTGTGGAGGTGGATGGAGTGGAGCTAATGTATTGCGATGAGCCCGGACTCGAGCAGCTTGTGAATCTTGGCGGCGATGTCCGGGTTGCGGAGATGGTCCTGCAGCGCGTGCGGGTCCTGCTGCATCTGCTCGAGGATGCAGCGCATGGCGGGGTCGCTCAGGATCTGCTGCACCTCGGGGTCGGCCATCGCGCGCTTGCGCACCTACACCACACACATGTATACTTCTCATCACTACATATTCCTAACGAGGAACTCCGACTTTAATATCAATCAATTTTAACTTTACAGTGATATTTGCTTCAGAACATCGGATTAAATTGAACGAAACGATTGTTACTTCAAACATACATAAATCGAATTCCGTTTATATGAATAATTCATAGTTTTCGTTGGATTTTTTGTTTAAAAAGTCAAATGCTCAGTTGTAATTAAAAAGAAAAATATTTTACGGCCGCCATTACAAAGTAACATTGTCGGATAGTGTTAAAATTTGTCATTTCTTTATAAATTTAGTACTACAAGTAATATGTTGAATATGAACAGTATACACACCTCCTCGGGGTTGGAGTTGAGTTGTGTGGAGCAGGCTCTGTATCCCTCCAGCGCCTCCGCATTGCTGGGGTCCAGCTCCAGCGCCTTCTGGTACGCTGCCAGTGCCTTGGCCGGCTGCTGCATGCCCTACACACATCAGACAAACAACTCTGATTAATACTTACATTTTATAACCCCTTTTAGGCACTAACCTTGCTATTAATTATAGTATAAATGTCAATATTTGAATGTATGTATGGATGGATGTTTGTAGTTTGTTGCTCAATGGATCTTAATGAAATTTGTCATAGATGTAGAATATAGCCTGGAAGATGACATAGACTACCTACATTTTTATTAAATACTGTATGGATCATGAAATAAACACACCAAAAAATCTAACAATACACAAATAATGTAACAAAAGTTGAATCTTGTTGCAGTTACCTGTAAAATCTTCCCCTTTCTGATCCATCCTTTGATGAATTTAGGATCAAGATCGCAGCAGCGCTGGCAGTCTTTAAGTCCAAGGTCGAATGCCGCCAGCTTGGTGTAGCAAGCCGCACGGTTGGAATACAGCTTGGCCTCATCGGGGTTACGTTTGATAGCCTCAGTATAATGCTTCACCGCTGTGCTGTAGTCACCTTTTGTATAACAAACACAATCTATATAATTTCCTATCATTTACCGCAAAAGTGGAAGTTGGAATATTGATAAAGGGTAACATTTATGATATAATCAACAAATCATTGAAAAATGTATGTACTATGTATGAAAATGATCTCATACAGTAAGACATTTCTTAATTAAATTTAATGGCTTTGCTAACAAAACGATAATCATACACATTGTTCTATAGAAAGTTATCAAATCTATACATATTAAAAAAATTGAACTGTCTATAAGCAAAAACTCATAAAACACTTCATTAATCATTTTAAAAAGACAAAATCTAACTTTTTAAACGTTTTACCTTTTTTAAAGTATTCATTTCCGAGCTCTTTCTCTTGTTCAGCTTTCACGGGATCAATGTAGGCTTTCTTCTCCTCCTCAACGATGCGACGTTCCACTTCACTCAACAATGTCTTGATCTCTGGAGTCCTGTGTTCCGACATTGACTTCTCAAAGTATGTCTTTGCTAACTTCCATTGCTCCATTTTCTTATATGCATTACCTAGAAATTAGGAAAATATCTTACTAATATTATAAATGTGTAAGTTTATATAAATGGATGGATGCTTGTATGACAATGACATGATGTTATAGGAGGTATCTCTAACAGCTGGATGGGTCTCGCTAAAATTTGGCATAGATGTTGAATGTAGTCTGGAAGAACACATAGGTAACTAAAAGGTTATTTTAATTTGATGCAGCCAGAGTCGCAGTTGACAGCTAGTAAAGAAATATAATATGCAGAAAAATTGTTTGAAGCCGAGACATGCACTTAAGCAAAAAATAAAAAAAATCATTCAACAGAAATGTAAAAAGATAGCCAATTTTCATGATTAGTGGCAAAAGTTTAATTTTACGATAAAATTCCCAAGTTCAAATAATTTAAATTTTAAAAATTAAACACTTACCAATTCTTGTGAAAGCCTTAGCTATTAATTTGAAATCGGCCCTATTTTCTCTGCCAATGTCAATTGCTTTCTCACACTCCTTAATACAACTCTCATACTCTTTCAATTCAAAATAAACTGCAGCCATGTTTGTGTAGAAAGTTATGTCTGTAGAATCATGTTCAATAGCTTTTTGATAATGTTTTATTGCATTATCAAAGTCCTTTTTTTTATAACATTCATTTCCTAAATCTTTCTCTTGTAATGCTAATCTACGGTTCTCTGGAACATCCTCATATTTGGGCTTAGGAGGCTCTTCTTTCTTAGGCGGTGGGGTCGGCTTTGACTCTGAAGCTGGAGGATCTACATCCATGCTCATGTCTAGACCTAACATTACACTAATTGTTGTAAGAACACGCTGATCATCCATTTTACCTTCTAAAACTCTTGTGTCAAATGGATTTAGTGCTAATTTCTGTAAGAAAATTGTAATTTATTAAGGCTCAGATCTGAAGTATTAGTCGAGGCTCAGAATTAATTTAGTGTTACTCAGAGTTAATTTCAATAAAGTGTTTTGACCTTATCAAATTAATTAATCTTAATGAGTGCTTGTCTCCATAGTTAATGTATGTCTAATAAACACAAAGGAAAATTATACTCACATAGCATAATTTTCACAGAAAAATAATTAAGGTTATTGAAATTTAGCTTTCTATATGTCAGACATAATTTACCCTGCCCATTATGAGTTAATTTATTTATATTATAGCATGGTTCTGTTGTGCTTTTGGATATTCAAACAGTATAAACTAAATATTGGATTACCATCAACAAAAAATTAACACCAAGATAAGTGAATAGAATAATAAGTTTAAAAATATTATCATTTTACTTACATGAACCATTCTTACATAATCAGGATCCTTCAACCATTCTCTTGTCTGAGGATTTGCTTTTAGTTTCTCAAATAATTTTGCAGTTTCCAATTTACTAGACTCTGCCTGTTTCCTAACTTCAGCAAGACCTGTTGCTAACTGCTGGTTGCCAGGTTCTAGTTCCAATCCCTTCTCATAAGTCGCTATTGCTTCTTCAAATCTACCCAAATATGCCAATGCACTGCCTTTTCTCGAATATCCCTTACTCCAAGTCGGATTCAAGGAAACAGTTTTATTCGCATCTTCGAGGGCGGCAACGTAATTTTCTGCTTTGGCATGAGCTGCTGATCTATTACTATATAGAACATGGTTGCTTGGGTCTAAATTTATTGCTTCGGTGTAGTGTCTTACAGCCACATCGAAATCACCAGACGCTAATGCGGCATTACCCTTTTCCTTTAATTGGTTAACCTAAAAATTACACCGATAGAAGATTAATATCTTTAATACAATATTTACCTCATTCAAATTACACCGCGGTTCGGCATAACCTCCTACCTGTTCCATGATTGTGCACTAAAGTTATTATTACAAAAATTAAAACGACTTATCACACTAATTGCTTAATCACTTGGAAACGCAAATTATTCTCTTTGTTCACAAAGCTAACAATGCTTCGAGCTTCCAAAATGTAGAAATACAAATGAATATGAATGAGCGAACACTGACACTTCAAATTCGAGAAAATTCTTGTATCTCGTTCTCGTTCTCGTAAAATCGTAAAATACTGTTGTAACGTTCCGTTTACGGATTTACGATTTATTTTGCAAAAACGAAAATCAATTAGTTTTTTCATTATTTTAGTACATTATAAGCTTATCGTTAAATGAGTGTATCTGTTGTTTGCATTGCATATTTATTGTGTAGTATTTATTTTTCTAAAGAACGAGTAAGTTTGAAATATTTAAGAGTTTTGGCTTGTATACTCTATTTTTCCGTAAACGTACAGATAAGATAAAAACATGAAGTTATTAACGCGGCTTTATGTTTTTTCTATCTGTCATTCTCTAGTGTCACGCTAATCGCTATTTTGTATGTTCGTGATTGTAATTGGATCCTGGATATTGTGGGGAATACCAAGTGAGCTAATCGATGGCCGATTAAGTGTTTCAACGCCACAGGAATTAGCGGGTTCCCTTGCTCGTGGTGACTCATCAAAGTTCCCGGACGGTTTTTCACTATGGAGACTGACGATGGTGAATCCTCTAGCAGCGGGCCTATGTCGAGCCTGAATAGCCTATTCTCCTTCACAAGTCCCGCTGTGAAGAAACTTCTTGGCTGGAAACAGGTAACATGTTTGATGATGCGAGTATCATTGCCACTTTTGGTTATCATCACTTGGCACTGTTTTATGAACAATGTTATTCTATTTCCAGGCGTCTAATTCGTTCTCTAACATTACAAATTATTGTTTTCACAATCATTCGGACTATTATCTTTTTGATGAAATTTTAACAGAAAAATGGCAACAGTCATGTATTTGTTGACACAAAATTTTCTAACTTTGTAAACTCAAATTACCTATGTAAAATATTACAACATCTTTTATATAGGGAACATAGAATCACTATTGTAGTGATCATGAAGTACACACACTGTTTCTATTTGTGAGTCAATTACTTTAAACTATGGAATAATTATAGTGGATCCAACATTAACATAAATGAATACACTTTGATGATGACTTAAGCATTAAATACATGCTTAAGTCATCATTAAATTAAATATATAATAGTAAAACAAATAAATTAATAATAGTATTTCCTTACAATTTCTAGTAGAAATAAAAGTGGTTTACATATTTTTTAACACACTCAATGCCACCAGTTTGCCTCACTTTAGTATTTAGAAATTAAAGTAGTATTAAAAACTTTTTCACCTGATTTGACACAAGTTCATTTTCACATGAAAGGATTGTATGATATTGTATAGGAATCAATCTGACATATGAAGATTATATTCAATGTGGCTACAATGCAACAAAATCCATCTTATTTTTGTATAGCTACCTTGACTTCATCCATACACACAATATGCATTGCATATTATTAATATTTTTGTTTTTTAATTGATTTTTAACAGTCAATGTATTTTTATGTATGAATAAAAATTGTATAGTCATAGTTTCATCAGCTTTCACAGTATAGATAATTTTTTAATCAATACACTAACTTTATCAATAGTCCCCAAATATATTTATATAATTTATAGAAGATTAAACATAGTATTCATAGAACCTAGCTATGGGCAACTAAAATGTATGACCTGAAGATCAGTTAATATGTGGAGCAGATCAGTAAACTGTCTCACAACTCAGCTTAATTTATGCTAGTTATTATTGACATTTCAAGCTGCAAACTGGTAGTCACCAGGCAGCTTGCAACTACCATAATTCTATTACAATGCTGTGCCGTGAACTATGAATTCGCATGTAAGTTAGTTAATTTTTGTGACAAGAATTGACTGCTTCAGAGCTGATTTCCATATGTCTAGAGCTGTATGTACTTATTTATCATCATCATCCTGCCTTTCCCTTCAAAGGATTATATATAAATAGATTTGGATTGCACATTTCCACCTGTTGTATTCAAAATAAATGTTGTACTACGAACAGGATATTCAATTTGTTGTTATGACTCACTCGTCAATTTCAATTACATTCCAAGAAGACTGATTGACTCATTCTTAGATTATTTTTATACACAAATTTATTGATTATTTTGATGATTTATTTATTTTATTAGTATTTTTTTTTATTTATATTATAATAGGATTTTTTGACAGATATTTATATTTAAGTACTTAATTACTATGACTAATTACTGGCTTGATGGACTACTACAATGTTATTTAAATATTATATTACTATCTTTATTTATTTAGAGAATTGATAGCGAAAAATCTATGTAAGAAAATAAGTATTAAGCTAATCCATGTGGTATTTAATGGTTTTGAGTTATGGTGCTTACATTATGTACAGTATAAATTGCATATTTTGCACATGTAAAATTTGAATGCAGTATGGGTTTAGGTTTATACTAATAATCCACTGTTGAATTACTGTTGCTATACTGGAATAGTGTAAACTTATGTGTTTTTAAACAATAATTTTTCTAGTAAGGAGGTTATTGTCTTCTTGAAGCAGGGTACTTATTATTCCAATTATATGATTGCAGGGTGACGAAGAAGAGAAATGGGCAGAGAAAGCAGTAGATAGTCTGGTGAAGAAATTAAAGAAGAGAAAAGGTGCTATAGAAGAACTAGAGAGGGCACTATCATGTCCGGGAACACCATCCAAATGTGTCACAATTCCACGTTCACTTGATGGCCGATTACAGGTATTTATTTTTTAATTTGTTTAGACTGAATTTGCTTATGACTTTATAATATATTATGTGAAGGGTTTTAATTTACTTTATTAATATTATTCCAGGTGTCCCATCGCAAGGGGCTCCCTCATGTGATCTACTGCCGTGTGTGGCGCTGGCCTGACCTGCAGAGCCACCATGAACTAAAACCTCTCGAAATTTGCCAATACCCCTTCAGTGCTAAACAAAAAGAAGTTTGCATAAACCCCTACCATTATAAGAGAGTCGAAAGTCCAGTGCTGCCACCAGTTCTAGTACCGAGGCATTCTGAGTTCGCGCCAGGACACTCCCTGCTGCCCTTCCAGAGGACTACAGAGCCTGCAATGCCTCACAATGTGTCATACTCTGGGACAGGATTTCCACCGTCGGCTTCTTCGGAGCTCCCGGATACGCCGCCACCGGCATACTCCCCTCCGTCCGACGACACCGAGCCTCCGGGGGAGGTAGCCCCTGTCTCCTACCAGGAGCCCCTGTACTGGGCGTCTGTCGCCTACTACGAACTCAACTGTAGGGTCGGTGAAGTTTTTCATTGCAACTCTCATTCGGTGGTTGTCGACGGCTTCACCGATCCGTCGAACAATAGTGACAGGTTCTGCCTCGGTCAGCTCAGTAATGTTAACAGGAATTCAACTATAGAAAATACTAGACGTCATATAGGTAAGGGAGTGCATTTATACTATGTAGCAGGCGAGGTGTATGCCGAGTGCCTGTCGGATGCGGCGATATTCGTGCAGAGCCGCAACTGCAACCACCATCATGGCTTCCATCCCTCCACCGTTTGCAAGATACCTCCGGGTTGTTCCCTGAAGATATTCAACAATCGAGAGTTTGCTCAGTTGCTATCGCAGAGTGTAAATCATGGTTTTGAAGCTGTTTATGAGTTGACTAAAATGTGTACGATTAGGATGTCTTTCGTGAAGGGCTGGGGGGCGGAGTACCATCGTCAGGATGTTACTTCGACCCCCTGCTGGATTGAGATCCACCTTCACGGTCCCCTGCAGTGGCTGGACAAGGTGCTTACACAGATGGGCTCCCCGCACAATGCTATTTCGTCAGTATCTTAGCCCGACCTCCATACAGCATGCCCCACCGTATCCCGTATTCAATAACTTGATAATCTCAAAAAATATGCATGTTTTATAACCTGTTTCGAAACTGTGACGATGTATTCAACACTTTCTTTGTAAGTAATATGGAAGTCTAATTTTGTGCTGAAAATGGATCCATATCTTCTGTTTATGACGTCGCGGCGTTTTGAAATATATAATGCATTTATTATTTTTAGTCTATGATATTTTTAATCTATATTAAAAAATCTAAAGTCATCCAAATTTCCGTCACAGTTTCGGTATTTTAAAATCCCCGAACTAATTATAATTTATAATTATTTTGGAACTAATATCTCCGATAAAAAAATATTTGTCTAGCCCCAAAAATTTGTTCTTGTATTCAGCTCAAATTATGTGTCCAAGTAAATTTTAAACGTAAGACGTATTTAGTGTTACTGTAATTATAAAGACATAAATATGTTAGAAAGTGAATATACTCGTGAATGTTTATGGTAACATATGAAGATATTATTCATTGTAAATATGTCTGATTGAATTGAGGTTATTACAATCAAATAACCTAAAAAGTGAACGTATGACAGCGACGTGTGGCAACACTGAATGTTAACTGTCATTTGTACATTAGTACACAGATAAATTATCATCGTAGGTAATTTTGTTTTTATTTTTTTTATATGACGATAGAAATTGAGAAATGACAAGCGATTTTACTTGTTGTATGATATTTTATCATTTAAATCATGAATACATTTTTATATATTTTACAAGCTTAGTAAGCAATTATAAAGAGAAAATTTAAATAATTTGTGGCTCTCCAAATTTGGCTCTACGGTTTGTTTTTTGGTTAAATATGTCAAAAAAAATTACACTGTTGATTTTTTATCTGTGTGATTTAAACACAACTGAATATAATTTTTTGACACACTTTTTAATTTTCTTATTACATGACATAATAATTTGTTTGTTTTTTTTTTAATTTAGGGATTCGGTCGAATTTCAATGAATTAATTGTGTAGATATTGAAAATAAAAATCGGTAATTTAAAAAGTCGTCCATCATAAAATCTAATAAAATGACAACAAGACAATCTTTTCTCAAGAGAATTTAAAGAAATAATTGAAAAAATAGAATTTATTGCTCAAGATATTTTCAAAGGTAAATTTCCTGACAACATTGTTCTTTTTTTAATTTGTCATAGACCGATGATTTTTTTTTACCTATGTGTAAAATCTTTATGCTGGATTTTTTTTTTCAAATCATTAAAAATAAATAAAATCATTTTTTCAATGCTAATATTGTATATATTGAAAAAAAAGTCGAAAACAAAATTATGTTATGGGGCCACATTTATTTTCTTGAAGTAGTTTAAGTAAGGCATGTGTTCTTTTTTGTAATTATTTTTTAGCGTAAGTAAATGTGAATTTAAATATGAACATGTACGAAATGGAGGGAAAATGTGAGGGTACTCGATTTTAAATTGAGTTTTATGTTTCGTGTTTAGTTAATTAGTACAGTCAGACACAAAAGGTTTGAGTTTTGGAATGTATTGTGAGATGGTATCTAGTTTGTCAGTATATTTCTTAATTTTGTATGAGTATGGATTTTAATATTGACGATGAAACATAAGGGAAGATAAATTGGCAACAAACCTTTTATACATTAAAAAAAACGGAAAAATTTACAAAAACCTTAAGTAATTGTTCCAGTGTTTCGTTTACTAGTAATATGTTGACAAACTAGTAAAAACTTATGTATGTATTATTTGATGTATGTTGAAGGTTCGTAGTTTTTGTTCTTGACTGTACTATAGTACAAATTGTGCCATTTGAATCAGGTTTCCTGTGAATTTAATCGTTTTTTTTTTAATTTTGTTTTCAAAATTCATATCGTTTTTATATCTAATTGATTTTTGGATTTGTTGACTATGTTTTAAATAATAATTTGGAAACTATAACTGTACACAGGATGTTCTTTTATAATTTAGTTTAAAAAATCTCAAAATAAAAATTCTTGCTTTTTTTAAAATGGAAAAACCAAATTGGGGTAGCGCGGGCGAAAATAAAGATAAAATTGATCTCAAAATATGAAATAAGATGTTGTTTAGTTCCTCCGGTAGTGTCGTACCTGCGCCCAGCCCCAGCATCTCTATCTAGTGCAATTGTTGAAAATATATTATCAAATGTATATTTTTATCAAATGTATATCAAGTTTATAATTTGCAAAATAATACTTTTACTCTAAACAAACTTCGTTACTTTTACTCTAAACATTATCGTTAGATTTCAAGATATATGAATATTATTTTTTAACAAATATATAAACTAGCACCAATTATTCTAAAAAAAGAAATTTTACAATTTCTGATTTATTTTATGTTTTAAATGTTCATAATATACAGCGTGTCCCAAAACCCATTTTTTTCCTCCGTGTACTAGTCCATCTGGCTATACACCACTGTCGTTTTATCGTTGAATTTTGGGACACGCTGTATAAAGGTCATAATGGGCTAGTTCACAATATTTACCAAGTTGATATATATATTATATACCAGGTATTATAATTCTCTATATACATTTGGCACGTACCAAATACCGTCCATTCATATTTTATTCGGTTCTTTATTGGTTCACTAGATATCTGTTAAAAAAATATTTTCAGAAAAACCTTATAAGTATGGCGTATACTTATTAAATATATGGATAGAATTCATCTATGTCATTACAATTAAAAAAAAGAATAAAACATGGTCCTTCGAGTCGGATATCTATGACAATAAAATACTATAACATTTTCTAACGCGCTGATGCGATTATTTAGATATTTGCATACCATTTAATCTATCCGTCTGTAATGCTAAGCTTCTTCCTTTCCTTGATTTCTCTATCTTCAACACAATCAACTTTTTATATGCTTTTATTAACAATTTATTGTAACAGTGCCTTTATACAGTTTTGTATAGTAAGAAATGTCTTATGCCGTTTTATCTACAAAACTGTTCAATTTTATTTTATCTAAATATATTATAGTATATAAGGATATAGTCAATAAACAAAGGATGTTTTCTGTATGCCTGATCAGTCCACCGATCAAACGGTCCAATGGTAATTTTTTTCTCCTACGTCCAAACCTCATTCAAATATATACATGCAAGACCATTTTATTGAGGACTTTATTACCTTTTTATTAACCAAATTTAATTATAACTCAACCTAAATAAAATGTGGGCGATGGTTCGATTGGAACAAATGTTCCATTGGGCCCATTTATCGGTGGAACGATTGGACGAACGTTGAACATCCTGTAAGCCTTATAACTGATGACATGTTGAATGATTATATACAGCGTGTTAAAAAAATCACAGAGCTTAGATGTTTTTCAGAGCATCTTATAAATTTTACTTCAATTTATAACAGTTTGTTATATAAATGTGCTTTGTTTATTTAAAATGAAGAAAGAACCATGAAATTGTACATAAAAAATATTCGTATTTAACGTCAAAAATTGCAAAAAATTTTTTTTAAATCACAATGCAACAGAACTATGGTTTGAAAAAATATACAAATTTTTAAATTCTGACAAAGTAAAAGTGCCTAAATACTTGTCCTTTAATCTTAGTCTAGCATTTTTTTAAAAAGAAAAAAAAATGTTGGAGTTATAGAAAAATTGACCATTTAAGAAAAAATGTGAAATAAAATATAGCCGCGTTAAATGTGAGGTGTAAATTCAGTGTAATTAATAGAAATTGTCGTTTTTGTTTTTATTGAAAAATTATTCAATTGTAAAAAAAAATGTTGCTAAAAATTAATTTCTTTTTCTGTATGGAATTTTTCTCATATTTTGTAAAACAACATGATAAAATACATCCCGCTACTAAATTACTAAGTTATTTGACTAACCACAGATTCGTTGTTTCGTTTGTTTGTTGATAATTTTTGAAAAACAATTGTTTTATATAATTGAAATATGCATGACTGACAGGTTTGTATGTATGTATGTAGTTAAGAAAGTAACATTTGTATGGAATTCGTTCAGCTGTTTTATATTCATGTACCGTTTGGATCATATTTGTATAGTCGACCATTGTTTTGTTGTGTGAGTGGAGTGTAACATAGTGATGTGGTCGGTTTTGAAATTGTACAAATTGAATTGTGAAGTGTCCTTTACGCTGTAAGACTGTCTATCGATATGTCGCTAGTGTTGCGCACTATATCGATAGATACGTCACAACTGTTGTAGGTTAGGTTTATCGTAATAAATGCCATTGTTCATGTAATTTTTTATTATTATTACTATTGATTCTTTTTTCTCCGTTTAGCATATAATAAAATTTCTTTTATTTAGAATTTGTGTTTATAATTTTTAAGGCATTTTAATTCATGTTAAATGAGTGATGACATGATAAAAGACTTATAATAAAATGTCGCAGAGTGTAAAGACTCCCAGAAGGTCTAAACGAGAAAGAAAATGAGTCGGATTCTTTCTTTCTTAAGAGTTGTTGATTTGATTGACCTTGAAATTTTTGTTAAAAGTATGCCCTTTGCACACCTCTCTGGCTCAGTTGGCACCGGACTTATTGCTGCATCTTGAATTCAAAATTACAATTTGGACGAGCTTGGATGTGCTGTAATATGTTTATAAGAGCTAAGTACTCTCGCATGTAGTTTTTTGTGAATGATATCGCTATTTACCAACCTAAAGTAGTCGCGTAAGAAGATTAGTCTGACAGTAATTTCTTATTCAGACTGCTATCCCATAAAATCAAAGATGTGCGCAAACGCAAAAGAAACATGGAGGGCGGAAAGTTTAGGATAGGATGAGAAAAGGAGGCCTTCCTCTACTTAATTAGAGAAATTTCAATTACAAAGGTTAGTGGATTAGTGTTTACTTAGTATCAATTAAACCGGTTATTTGTCTCTTGCTTTTATGTTGTTTACAGCAGCTATCGAATATTGATTGCTTATCAAATTATAGGTTAGAAATATGGCGATCAGCAGCGCTATATTCGTTGATGCAACATGTTAGGTAAGTCTAATTATGCCACTTACCAGGTTAAACCATGGACGCTATGTAACAGTAGCGAAATAATATGCAATTTATCGCTCGCTGTCTCGCACCTGCTTTGAATAGTAATGGCGCAAGTGTCATGGCCGCTGCGTGGACATGCGGTGAAAATTGGACGTGTTATTGTGTCCTGACTGCGGACAGTAAAGGGCTATTTATTGCAATGATTAAGGATAAGTCCTTACTTTTTTATATTATAAAGTGGCAAACGAGCGAGCAGTCACCTGAAATCGCTGAAATAGCGAAGTGACCGTTGCCCATAGACATACGCAATTGCATATGCGTTGCCTACCTTTAATCGACGGAGGAGAGAATGCACAGAAAGGAAATATTTCCATGCATCCTCTCATCCGGAAAGTCCACTTTCACTTCCCATCCTTTCCTTAAGAAAAAGGGTGGGAAGGGAAAGAGGCCTAAATTAGGCCTCCGGGACGCACACTCATTAGACGAAACACGGAATTGTTTCCACTTGAGGCGTGTCTTCTGTGTGGTCGTGGTATTTCACCGGACGAGCCGGGCCAAGTCGTGCGAAGATGTTAAAGCGGGCCCTACCACTGTTAAACTTATCATTACATCTCATCTAGATCTTAGGTGATTGTTCAAAGATTATATTTTTTATTTTTTTTCTTTCAATAATTTTACTGCAGTACTCACATTAAAGAAAAGACAAAGTGCATTCAAATTGAAGTTCAAAAAATGAAACGTAATGATGAAAACATTAAAGAGATGTGTTTATTTAATCTATTATTTACATTTAACTTCAGCTAACTGTTTTTAATAGGGAAAGGAATGAGAATAAGTTCTTTCTCCTACATTTAACACTGATTACGAATGCAACCTTTTTTAATATAAATACTCGTTTAGAATTTTATTATAATGTCTTTGAATCGACTCTATAATCAAAAGGACATCTATAGACAGTCAGACTCGCTATCATCATCAGCTCACTATACGTCCCCACCGAGGGGCTCGGAGCCTACCCTAAGTTAGGGGTGACTAGGCCATAGTCAACCACGCTGGCCAAGTGCGGGTTGGTTGACTTCACACATATCTTTGAATTACTTCTCAGATATGTGCAGGTTGCATCACGTTTTCCTTCACCGTAAGAACGTCGGATAAATGTACATATGTAAATCGGAAATCGAAAAACACATTGGTACATGGCGGGATTCGAACCCAGGGCCTGCAGATTGCAAGTCAAGCGTTAGACCACTGAGCCATCGACTCAGTCAGACTCGCTATCGATAGAATTCAATCATTATTGGTTTAATTCTGGGAAGCCTATGTTAGTTCGTTCAGAAACCAATAGAATGTTGATTAAACTAGAACTATGTTGGTTAACTTATTGTGATTCTGTGACGTTTATTTATTTGTAAAATTATGTGCAGCTATATTATACTAGTTTCATATTTTAAAAAGTGCAATATCTAACATCTTATTAATATTATAAATGGGAATGTTTGGATTGATGGATGTTTGTTTGTAGGTTCCTCCAGAACGGGTAAACGGATCTCTTTGAAATTTGGCATACATATAGAACATAGTCTGGAAGAACACGTAGGCTATTAATTAAGTATTTTTTTAATCCCGAGCGGGCGACAACTATAATTTATAAGGCATGTACGAAATTCTGACATCAAAATGAACACGTAAAAATCTCGCTACATATGGTGATAAATTGCAACTAAACAATTACTTGACGGAAATGTTACAGATAACCAATTAATTCATTTTGTATCGCATTTAAGTTGTTGAATCACTTAAACTTGTACTGCATCAAGTTACGTGTGCTTAATTAAGTAATACTATTGTTTACGGAAATGGAGCGGCGCAGCGTCGTGCGATGTATTTTAAAAAAAAGTTTAATGTCGCGTTTATCGTCTGTTACGTTGTGGATAATAAAAACAATGTAAAGTTTGACAAAGTTTTGTTTAGAATCGAAATTTTAGATAAGAATTTTTAGCGTTAGAAAGGTATAAAGAGTTACAAGTGACTTTTATTCACTTTTTTTTTAATATACAATTTCTTAAGTAAGATGATCAGCCGTTCACTTTGTTTGGTTATGCAGTAAAACCTTCGAATCTTCTTTTTAAATCAGCATTATCTACAGGAAGAAAAGTCAACAATCTGTTAAATGAATCCGTTTTACGTAGTCTTGATGCGTTTGATAAATGAAACAAACATGTCGATAGTGTACATTTTTGTTCTAATTTTCTACATACGGTTTTTGTGTTTATAAAACTTTATATTTTAGTCTGATGATAGATATCTAGACCGATTGACAGTAAAAATGGCTGAATGATTTCTTATAAGGAAGTAGTTTTTATTTATATAGTCCGAAGTTAATAAATGAAATGAATCATACGTGTTATTATCGTATTGATATTTAAAAATTTGTTTTTTTAAAAGGATGCAATAACAGATTTATTTAATCTTTAATATTTTCAAATGTCACATTTAATTTTATATGTCATATTATTTTTTTTTCTTAAAAACACAAAAGTAAAAGCTTAATTAATTTGATATCAGTTTAAGCTTATTAATTGAATTTATTTCCTTAAATTATAAAACTGTATCAGAATAAGCAGTCCTAAAATATTTTTATTGACATAGATAATGTTTAGCTAAAAAATAATCAATCTTTTGTCTATGGTTGCAAGTATAGATTATACAGCTCTTTGAATATAAATAGTTGTCATCATTGCGCGGCGTATTGACTCAAGGGCTCCAGACACGTCTTTGTGCATTGCCCTGAAATATCTTTTCTTAGTGCATAAATTTCAAATACGGAATTGCAAAGTTAAATGCAAGTTTTTGCTAGACTTGACGTCATTGCATTTTTCTTATTGACTTTATATTGCGTAGAAACGTCGGTATGTTTATGACATTAGAAAGGTTGATTAAAGAATTTGCCTACGCTAAGGCTAATAGTCAGACAATATTAGCTAGGTTTAGATTTTATAATAGTATTTATTGAGAGATGTATGCATGATTTATCCAGACTTCATCGAAAACCCGAATTTTATAAAATACAAGCGTTTTTACCTTGATTATAAAGTTTACACAGGCTAGCTAAGCCAACATGTTTCGTCAATATAAACCAACATGTTCCAGCAATCGTGTATTCTCCAAATCAATGTATTTAAGAAGCCTATGGTTTTGAAGTCTTTATTTTATTGGTCATTACGTGACGAGACATCCTCAATAAAATTTTCTCACGCTAGTGAATTAATTAGTTTTCACATAAAATTAGCAAATTTTAAGGAAATAGACAGCCGTTAGGATACTAGTGCTAATTAATCTTTTAATGTTAATTGGTTTTGTTTGCATATACTCTAATCTTTGATACTATATGTCACACATGGCTTTGTCCATTTGGATTTAAAAAAAACTAACCAGTCCCCAACGTTCCAGACCAAAAAGTAAGTAACCTTTCTCTATTCCAAATAACACCACGTAACGGAATTCATATATTCAAACATTCTAAGAAAGGGGAAGAAGAGAAAAGTCCTTGAAATGATGTCATATTCAGGATATCTTGATAGTTTACGTTAAGGTTAATCTATAGTTTAATAGTTGAAACAAATTCATTCTATTTATTAATAGGTAAATTCAAAGAAATATTAATTTTACACAAAATGTCCTTAAACTGATTCTATCAGGACGAACGATTAAATATCTAGGCTGAAACGCAGACCGCAGCGCGGTGGCCGCTAATGTCATATTAGCAAGATTGTCACAAATGTGTAACACTATCTGAACACATTAAACAATTGACCTTCGCGGCTTTGTCTTAGATAATAATTATAATCTGTGTGTCATTATAGACACAAATTTGACCTGATTTTCTTTTCAGTGTCTTGAATTTCGTTAAAAGTAAAATTGTATTCAATAAAATAATCGGGAAATCTTTGATTTTCACTTTACGGCTCTGACATTTTTTCATAAACAATTCTACGTAAAATGAGGGTTAATAATACATAAGACTCAAAACAGTATTTCCCACAATGAGTCACACACATTTGCCTTTGTTTGGTGTTTATTTTTTCTTCCTTCGAAAAGGACGTTACTAATTAAGTTTTAAATATCAGGGTGCCCAACCAGGATAGTTTTAGGCGTACCTTTGTTGTAAAATATTATTTATTTTTATGCTTACTTATATCTGCCCATAACATCGCTATGTTAGCGTTTCAGACTGACATATTGGTAGAAGATTAACGTCAAATACCTTAGAAAATAATCGTAAAGAACCCAGCGATCAAACAAAGTGCATTAACCTATTTCCTTCGATAGATGTTCATACGATATGTAACAGATGCGTCACCTTCCAAGACTAATTTAAAATGCTAAAACCAAGTCGGGTTCTGTTACAAAACCGCGCAAGGGCTCCGCAGACCGAATAACAATATAACTGCGCTGTTGAAACGAAAACTGCGACATTATAAATACAAGTGACGACCGTGAGCGCTGCAGACGCGAGTCGCGTGGCGTCCATTGCTGGTGCTAAAAGAGCGGGAAATTTTGACGTTTCGATATTCGTTCACAAACACAACATGTTGCTGAAGGTCAGTGATATTTAATTTATTGTTTGTTTACTAACGGACAGGTTTTATCTTATCTGTTTGTGAAAAAAGAGAAATGTGTTTTTAATAAATTAAAAAGTGATATGAAAATGATTAATTTCCTGTTTTGGATTTTTAATAAAATAAATAAATAAATCAATAACTAATTTACATAAATTGATTTAATAATATTTTAGTATTGCATATTGTTATTAAACTTTTATTTGTTACTAGAGATTAGCTTTCCAACAAAGCTTTTTACTTTATGTTAAATTTATATGTTTGGGCATAATGTTTTTTCACATCACTTCAACAATATATTCGCGAATGCTTGTACGAAAACAATAAAAAGATACTTTAGTAGTAGGATGGAGTTAAATAACCATTCTTAAACAAAAGCAACGCTCATATATTATGTACACTACAGTTTCATTAGTGCTTTCGACCTTAAGTAAGAAAAGTAAAATAGTATATAGGCGAGCTATGAACATAAAAAAGGCTCGAATATTCTGGAATGTCGAACTTATTGTATTGGAGTACAGCGTCAGCAAACCGATGTGGAACATCGATGTGTTCAAGTACTTCAAATATATTCTTTTTAAAATTCGAAGGGACAGAAAAATTAACATAAGAACAAAAACAACATACGACTCGATGTACATAAAAACGAAATAGTTTTACCTACATATTTCAAAATATTATTTTGTAAGTTTTTGTAACGTCACTTTACTTTGGGGCCGGTAAATACTTATAAGGGATTCAATGGCTGCGAATACCAAGTTCTTCTGTCACTTTCAACGGGAGTATAACAATGTTATTTTTACTATAAAATTACAAAAGTATGCCTAAACATATTATTTAGTCTCAGTCCGACTGTGCAGTTGAAACCGAAAGTGATGTCTACCTTTAAGTAAGTTTTTATGCGTGAAGAAGTAGCGAAATGGTGTTAATCCTGCAAAATAAAAAGATCCATTTTCTATATATTTATAACACAAATTAAGAAATTGTAATGAAAGTGATTTTAGATCTACAATAGCTAAAAATGTCTCAATCGTGAGATGTGGTGATAGATAACAAAGAAATGTTGTCTTCACTCTTGAACATTCACTATAGAATTAAAACATCATTTAATAAGTTGCACTTTTGTTCAAACACTTTCGTAGCAATCGTAGTAGTTTTCTTAAAAGAATTAAGGTAAGCAGAACTCTGAAAACCTCTTCTAGTATCAAAAGCTAGAACAAAACACTATGATGCAACTCGATATGAAAAAATACGTCTTATAGCCTCACTAGATTACAACAAAACCTTACCTTTTTCGTAATAAAATACTAACAAACAGTTAAAGTCTTGACCACAACGTTTCGGTTTAAATTTTTATAATTTAAATGAATTCATTTATCTCAATAAGTTGTTATTATTAGATCTCAAATCTATAGTTTACAGTGGTAGAGCCCGCTTTAACAACTTCGCATGAATCGGCCTGGCTCGCCCGGTGTAATACCACGACCACACAGAAGACAGGCGTGAAGTGGAATCAATTCCGCGTACAGTCTGATGAGTGTGCGTGCCGGAGGCCTAATTTAGTCCTCTTTCCCTTCCCACCTTTTTCTTATAAGGAAAGGATGGGAAGTAGAAGTGGACTTTCTGGATGAGAGGATGCATGGAAAGGGAAAATATTTTCTTTCTGTGCATCCTCTCCTCTGTCGATTAAAGTTAGGCAACGTATATGCAATTGCGTATGTCTATGGGCAACAGTCACTTCAGCGATTTCAGGTGGCCGCTCGCTCGTTTGCCACCTTATGATATAAAAAAAAAACAAAAAAAAAGTTTTTCCCACGTTGAATCTAATACGTTTTTACTTATATAGGAATTTTTGACGTATATAGTTAAACAATTAAGTAATAATCAACTATAGTGTATTACAATTAATCAAAAATTGTGTCACAATATGTTACTATTAACTTTGATATGTTGGTCGATACTTTACAATAATTAAAACAAAGTATTTGGATCATGTTCGACAAGACATAACAAGCTATAATTACCAAGTTGCCATAACTGGTGACTATCAATTAAAAACAAAAACAATGTGTTGCCATATGCAAGAAAACCCCGGATCTTTTACCAAAGGTTTAATTACGTTAATATAAAGAAATTAGCTAAAATAGATGACCTAAACTTGTAATAAGCTTTGTTGACGAACTGTATTAAATATTCCTTGCTATTTACGTAGGTGTATTGACAATGCAATTCATGAATTTATTTAAATAAATCTGTGATATTCCTTTGACTTACTTTGAGGTTATATTGAAAAATATGATACCGTCGTCTCTTTTATTATCTTTGAAAAAAACAGAGATGACAATATGTTTTAGTACACTTATGTTAAACCTTTGATCATTGGTATGCTACAGTTATTATAATCATATTTATATATGTTAATAATTTATGATCAAGTTATACCTTAGTCAAGTTAGAAGCCTCAATCGCCTAATGGTTAAGGGTACGGATTTCCGATCACTAGGTCGGGGGTTCGAATCCCGCCATTCGACTATTGTCGTAAACCATATCCTAGCACAAGCCTAGAGCTTAGTTGGAATGGTAAAAGAAATATTAGTAAATTTGTAAAAAAATCTGCTAATATTTTAAATACAAAAAAAAGAAAAAAAAACCTGTTGAAATAAATAATGAACAGTGGTAGAGCCCGCTTTATCATCTTCACACGAATTGGCCCGGCTCGCCCGGTGAAATACCACGACCCCACAGATGACACGCGTCAATTGGAAGCAATTCCGCGTTTCGTTTGATGAGTGTGCGGTCCCGGAGGCCTAATGTAGTCCTCTTTCCTTTCCTACCCTTTTTTCTAATAAGGAAAGGATGGGAAGTAGAAGTGGACATTCCGAATGAGGGGTTGCATGGAAAGGGAAAATGTTTTCTTTCTGTGCATCCTCTCCTCCGTCGATTAAAGGTAGGCAACGCATATGCAAGTGCGTATGTCTATGGGCAACGGTCACTTCGCTATTTCAGCGATTTCATGTGGCCGCTCGCTAGTTTGCCACCTTATGATATAAAAAAATCTTTATTTCTTAGTGTTTAGGTATTGTTAACTTTCCAGTTAGTTAAACTTTCAATGTAATAAAACTAAACAGTGAATAATAAGATAATAATTGTCGCAAATACCTTTCTGATCGTTTTAGCATTACGCAAAATAATCTATAACTAGGTGTCAACATTCCAACATGACTGACAATTTAATTTAGGTTAGATGTAGGTGGTTAATAATAAAAGCTTTTGTTATTCAAACTTTCGTGAGACATTATACTAAACTGATATATAAACACGGCTAAACACTCACGTATATACGTCCGGTGGCGGCACCGACTAGTTTCGAGCCCATCGGGGGCCCTTCATCAGGATGAGTGGCACTGGTATTATTTCGCGGACGCGGCCCGTCGCTCGCTTTTGTCTTCATGAAGTTTACTATTAATAGAGTCTTATAAGTTATTAGAAGAGCTTTTCGATTGATTCAAAAACGGTCATAAGTACTTACTTATTAGAATCTAAGTTATATTTCGATGACTTATTTAAGTTTATTATATTGTGTACTTATCGAGTAAACAGGCATAGACTATTTTTTTAAAGTTAAAAGATTATTACTTTAAAATGTTGCTATGTTAAGGCTGTATCTATATAACTTATTATATCAATGACATTTAAAAAGGAATAGGGTCGTGAAAGCTTAATTTTTAAGGCGGGTCCAGTATATTGCGTGAAATTATTCAGCTTATTCAAATATCTATTCAACAAATCGGATATTTCACGCACATTAAACTTGTATAGATCGAGATTTGTCAATTGATATATAATTGTATAGGTTGCACTATTTGGCAAATAGTTGCGCAAATATGCCGCGTGCCAGTGTTGCCAAAGTAATCGACAGACAGCCTACTAATAACGTGCTTGGATTGAAAATTTACCTCTTGACTTCTGAGCGAAGTTGATGTTAACATAATATCCTATTTGTTGACCCATTTTAACGATTACTGTAGTATTTTAGATTAGTAATAAAATATAAAGCTATATAGTAAAACTCGTTGTTCATTTTTCTACATCTTTATTTTCATTCAGTTTTTCGCGGGTGATGTCTCGTTTTTTATTTTTGTTTTGTTTTTCATTGTGGCCAGGATACTAAAGTTTCGGCTACTAAAGAGTTTTAATATAACACATAATATTAAAAATATTTAATATCGAACAGAAATATCGAAGATCTGAAACCAATGTTCATTAAAATTTTATTATATTATAATTTATGGTGAATTAAAAACTTGATGCATTTCTTCCGGGATAAACCATTATTGACTTCCAAGTATAACCTACATTAACCATAAATAGTCCATAAAGTATATTAATTAACCAACACAAAGTAATTTTATTTAAATGGTATAGAGTCGGTAACAAGGCGGCCTTGTATTGAAATTAATTCTACGTTCATGAACGCATTGTGACCTTTACTACTATGGTAATAAGGACCACTAGAGCGTGTACTGGTTTCTTTGGAATGCAGACTATAAGTCGAATTTGACCACACCTGTAGTATGCATGAATAAGTCACGGAAGTTTTCACTGAGCTTTATAGAACACATTCTTTAGGTGTACTATGATTATTTATGTTATGGTTATGTGTGATTGTATATTATTACTAGTTGTAGCCCGCGATAGCGTCTGCGTGAAATTAAAAAAGTAGCCTATAACATACCCGCGTACATTAGCTACCTTCCCGTCAAAGTCGCGTCATAATCGGTCCGGAGATTAACGCGCACAAACGTTGCTTAGCGGACAGACATACAGTCAAAAATATAAAAATTTGGTTTTTAGTTATCACCAACTGAAATACATTATGTGTACGAAATATGATTTTCTCTCGATATTACATACAGACACACCCAATTTGATTAATATGTATGGATAGATGTCACATAATGCTTATAAGAATGCGCAGAAAAATCAATGTTAAAAAGGTGAGAGAGATGTGTCAGGACCTGCTTACACCTCTGAGTTACATCGTGATTTATTTTTTATTTTATAACAAGTCGATTTATTTAATCTGTCATATTTAGCTTGTCCTTAATTATGAAACGAAGTAATTGCAGACCTGTAACAATACTTGAACAACAAACCCTGATTAAAAGCAATTTTAGATAAGATCAAGCGCTATACAATTACGGCTTTTAAAACTAAACTTTACAAAAGTAATAGACTTCGACATAACTAACGATAGATTTATCACAACACCGGATCAATTTGTTATCTAATTTCTATAAAGTATTTGCTAATAAGTTAAATTCGTTAGAAAAACTGCAATTTCCTGCATTTCCTGCAAGCTTCCTGCGTGACTAACGCCCGCTAAGGCTATAAACAAAAACAGGCGGACCTTTCCGCGTACCCAAGGCCCATACATTCACCAACTGACGTCCGATTTACTCGTTTCTTTGTAGATTTTATCGCAATAACTGCCAGACACGCCATTCTGCACTAAAATCATATACATTTGTATTTTAGCACAACAATTTAATCATTGTATTGTTATAAACATTTTTATAGCTATACAATAAACTAAAACTATGTATTACTAGCTGTCGCCCGCGACTACGTCCGCGCGGATTTAAAATAAACTGAATTAATTGCCTATGTGTTCTTCCGGAATGCTCTATATGTATGTCAAATTTCATTTGTGATGATGAGTTGTTTTTTCAAGATTGTTTCTAACAAACATCCATCTATCTAAACATTTGCATTTATAATATTAGTAATGATTTGAATAGTAAAAAAACAATATGACATAATACGAACATCTTTATATATATATAATTATTCTGTGAGTGTGTATGTCACTGAACTTCTCTCAAACGACTGGACCGATTTTGATGAAATTTTTTGTGTATGTTCAAGGGGATCTGGGAATGGTTTAGATTCACAATTTTGTCCGCTGGACAATGTTTTTTTAATTAATTTTTAATTTATTAGTAGTTGTTGATTTTGGAATGTTTTACATTAGATCCGACAGACGGCGCTACCATCGCAGTGTCAAATTTTAAATAATATTCGAATTTTAAACGTCAATTCAATTTTTGAACGTCACGACAGGACAACGTCTGTCGGGTCCGCTAGTATAGTATAAGATATCCTTTCAGTGACAACTTGCTAATATTTATCGTCAATTTATCATATTAATTTTGATAGTCATGATTGTATGTTGTGTAAAATATGAAGACAATGCGATCATTAAAGTCACATTAGATGCCCATACATACATACATACATACTTCCCCGCTGTCATCCATCATCCTTACTTAACAAAACAAAATGGCTGTCATTTCCAATTCTAACAGTGCTTTAGCACGGTAAATAATGTTAAACTTATGTACTTATCGATGCCAATTTGTATTATTAAATATATAATACATACACAGGTATTTATACTAAATAATATAATAAGAAACAGTTAACGACCATTCAGTTAACCATACTAATGGCTATTGAAATTTTACATACAATGTAACTTCTGCGAATGTTTGGATGGATAGATGGATGTGTGTTAAGGTATCTCGAGAACGGCTGCATTGATTTCGCGGAAATTTGGCATATATGTAGAACATAGACTGGCAGAACACATAGGCTACTAATTAAGTCTTTTTATAAATCCGCGCTACCGATAGCAAGTCTTAAGTAAGAGTAACTACACCGATCGAAAAGTTAGCCTTGGGGTCTAATAATGATAGGACGTAATTACTCTACATTTATCTTAAGAGGGCTCTTCCTAAAGTAATAAATGACATTAACAATTACTATGAATTATAACCATTGTATCATTTTTCAGACTATAATATTATGCGCAGCGTGGCTGGCGTGCGTGCAGTGTCAACATAACCAGCAGGGTCCCACCACCACGCCAGTGCCCATCCTGAAACAGATCAACAAACAGAATGACGACGGCTCCTACAGTTACGGTTACGAAGCTGCAGATGGATCATTCAAGATTGAAACTAAGTATCCGAATGGTGACGTCGCAGGGAAATACGGTTATGTGGATGAGAGTGGAAAGCTGAGGGAGATATCGTACGGCGCGAGCAGCAAACGAGGGTTTGAACCTCAAGGTAATGGTTTTTATACTAACTATTAGATTAGGGTAATATGGTTATTTGCATGTTTAACCTGGTTAAACACAAAGTACTAATATTCCAAAAAAATGTATTAATATCCGTAAGCGTATTAGAAAAGAAAAAAAACGTAATAAGCAAATTTAAAAATAAGTAAAAAGGTACTCACTAATGTCATTTGGTATTAAAGAATATGTGCAGAAAAGAGTACGGAACAAGATTCTTTAGATCACTTTCTTATTGTTCGATCGACGTCAAAGTTAAATAACCAAACTAAAAAGTTGAATGAAATTACTACCTTTGACTACACTCAGTAAGATAGCATACTTATTACCGCAATTAAAATGCTATTAAAATTCCTACTTTGATTTCCAAAGAGCTCATTGAGAATTAACCGGAAGATGTTGTAATCGGCCCAGTTGTGTACATGTCGGTCTCTTACATTTGTTACCTCACCGACCTACATGTGCCCCCAGCGGTCACTGTCACACTCTAGCCTTAGTTCTCACAACTAAAGTATTCAATGATACTTTGATCGACTACATATTGTTTATTAAAATCTAGAGAAATAAGGGTAACTTAAAAACTAAATTATTGTTTAAAGAACTTTGTCACAATCTTAAATTGCAAATACAAAGTTATACTTATTAGGTTTATTGCTTAAAAAACAAAAGCAATTAAAAAATTACAAAATCTAAATAACTTTAACAAACTAAGTATAACATTTTAATTAATTAGGAATGAATAAATTAAAAGCGCATTCCTAATTCCAGGTCAAGGCATCATGGTGCCCCCGCCAACACTCAACGACCCTTCAAACGCACTGACCGACGGACAGGAAGATGATGGCCAATACCGTGAGGACCCCAAGATCTACGAGGATCCCAAATACAACGGCAGAGCTCAAGCTAGACCGGCTTCCAACTTCAGGCAGTTCCACCAACCAGCGCGACCTGAACCCCAGTACCAACCGGAACCACAGTACCAGGCCCAGACACAGTATCAACCCCAAGCGCAACCACAGCCGCAGTACCGTCAACCAGCACCAACATACCAGCCCGAGCCTACTCCGCAACCTCAACCATTCCGTTCCTCCCTCTTCACTCAGCAATCAAACCTTTTCAATCAATCGCCCCAGCAATTCCCTCAAGAACGTCCCCAAAGCCAAGTCTACCACCAACAGCCCCAATTCTCTTACCAGGCGTACACACCTCAGCCATACAGTCAGAGTTCCAACCAGGCTGCCAACTATCAAAGCTACCAACCGCAGAGCTATCAGGGTCAAAACTTCAATCCCTTCTCTGGTCACCCCGCACAGAACTTTGATCCTAGCACCGGATCCTATTCCATTAACTTCACTGGAAAATAATTCAATTTATACCTCAATATATTAAACTTATAACAAACCCAAAGCTTTAGGAAGGCAGACTTTTTTATAATTTTGTATCTAAGACTAGTCAATGTAAGCGAAGCGTGTATTTTTTACTAAAATTTGAAAACTTTAGGTTTACTTAAATTGTTCATGCCCTAGGTTAACAACACAGTTATTTCCCTATAAATTGAGATAAATAGTTATTCTTGCTTTCAGATTTACTTTTTTCTTATTATATATAATACATATATATTTATTCCTAATCTGTGTATATTATATTTATGACATGATGAAAAAAATTAAAGTGTTATGAGTACAAAAGAGTTAAACGCGAACAAAAATATTATTAAAAACGTAATAATTTGAATATTACTTTATTTGTATTATTAAATGTATATTATATATGTAATTGTATTTACCTTATATTATGACTTTAATCACAAAATATAATAAATATTTCGGAGGCCCAATATTAATCCTTTCCCCTTCCTATCCAGTTCTTATAAGATAATGATGGGTAGGCGAAATATTCGCTTTATGTCCTTCTTTGTCCATTGTTGGTAGACAAGACGCATAACCATTTACTTCTTGGATACCTTATACTATAAGAAAATATTGGATACAAGAATTGTATAATGATCCGGAAGCATCAATTATGTTCAGTAATGGTATCGATTGCAGCGCTGCGCATGCGTGGAATTCAAAATGGCGGCCGCGTTGACACAAAGTGCGTGAATCAATTGCGAATTATGTTTAATTAAATCTTATATAAACGAGTCGAGTGTTTTCTTTTCCTGGTGTGAAAGTTATTGATAAATCAATTAATAACCTATTTGTATCATAGACTCCTAGAATATCTTTAATATTTCTTAAGTCTTGTATTACTATTAATTTGCTATCTCTTTCTTTCTCTTCAAAAAAGAGATAGCAATAGTGGTTAACACTAGCTTTATTGTTACGTGTTACATTGCTATTATTAAAACAAATTGTACAATATCTAATATGTAAAGAAAAAAATATTAAGAAGCGTTATTCTTAAATAATTTTTAACGTTTACAGTATTAACTAGTTCACAAAACATGTAATATATTACTAAGACTCATTTACTAAGATTTAGCTTTGAAATTAAGGACAGATATAATGAAGGTCTTTGAATAAGGCTTTAATAAACAAAATGTTTGTAATTTATTACTTCGAAATCGACAAAGAAGGTTAGTAATTAGCATATTTGCTAAAGCTTTAATTTGCTACATATTATAGTAGGGGCTACGAATATAATCTTAGTTAATAGTATTTAGTCATTTTGATAGACAATCCACCTATTTGTAACCGAATATTCGGTGTGTAAAATTCATTAAGTACATTATCGTTAAATGCCATGGAGTACAGCGGCCTAACCCAGAACTGGTTTTTTGGAGGTTATGTATTTGACAGTTGTCACCTACAAACATCTATTTTCATGAATAAATGCAGTAATGCTGGCAAGATAAGTTAGAATCGATGTTGCAAGCCAATTGTGCAAAAAAAGTAAATAAAAAATATTTTTTTCAGTCTGCCTTTACTCCCGACGTCAAGGATAGAGCGTGAAAGAGACTGATTGGGAAAGTTGAACCCACCTTGTAGGATGCGAGCTAGGCAGAGAGAGAGAGAGAGAAAGAGATTGCCTGTCTTTTCTCTGTCTTTGATCTGTCTTTATGCGCTTTTATGTTTACGTATTGATTGACATTTTGCTAATGTCACGGATTATTTTATATGGCTACGAAATAATAATCAATTTGTTATAACATTTAAAAGAAGAAAAATGTCAAGCTTTATTCAGATTTGTCTATATTATTAATCCAATAAATGTATATTTCTTAACTTAACTTGATTTTTGTTACAGCATAGAAATAATGAACAAGGAAAATTTATGACGAAAGAAAACTATGGGGAAATGAATGTTAAGGCAAACAGAGCGCTCCATACACGTTCCTAACTTGTACATGCAAATGAATATTGTTAAGGAAGATAATTTCTGATCGCGTCATAACTTCATTCGCGGAAATCCTGTAAAGTAACATCTAAGAATTTTATACTTTAAATTACAAAAAAAAATCAAGAAACTTATCATGTGAAAGATTTTCCTTGATCGTTAAAGTTACGCAGACAAATAAGCCTAAGTAATCACTGACTAAATAAAACCATAGTCTTCATAAAACACTCGCAAACATGTTAAAAATGATTGTTTTCAATATTATTTCATCCGTCAATTTAAGTGTAGGTTAACAGGCTTAATCTTAGTTTGGACTTTACACGACTTCCGCGATGTAATGGGACGAATTCATGACATTGCGCCATGAGAAACACTTCCGTCAGGACATGGACGACGACATTTTTATTCAAACACCGTGTGATTATTATTAATACTTGATTTTAAATAATTATGTAACTTGGCAATTTATTCATAACTGAAATTTTTTGTTATAATCTTAAAGTGAAATCACAGTGGAAAACTCAACCTTATTAATAGTCACGCTTAGTTTGAATTTTTTTTTTTGTATAAAATATTAGCAGATTTTTTTTTTGTAAATTTACTAATACCTCTTTTACCATTCCAACTAAGCTCTAGGCTTGTGCTAGGATATGGTTTACGATAATAGTCGAATGGCGGGATTCGAACCCCCGACCTCGTGATTGGGAATCTGTACCCTTAACCATTAGGCTATTGACGCTTAATATTCCGAAAGTATATGTCGATAGTTACCTTTAATACATAGCACATATATCAATTTGTATATAAAGTCATGAAGTCCTTATTCTGGATAATTAATTTGGTCATAAATTTATGATAAGACTAGTTGTTGCCCACGATTCCATTTGCGCAGAATTAAAAACAACTGAATTAGTTAGCCTATGTGTTCTTCCAAGCTATGTTCTACATTTATGCCAAATTTCAGCGAAATCCATGCAGCCCTTTTGACAAATATCCATCCATCCATACAACCAACCATTCGTATTTATAATATTAGTAAGATAGTGCACCAAAACAAGAGAACCTTCATCTCATGCTCGGCGGGAGGGTTTCAAGTTTCCTATTTCGAAAGCCGTCACTCGGAACTACGTAGGCGTGACGTGTGCACTTCAAGGCTGCGACCAGTGTGTCACTGCCCTTATGTAAAGCAGACATTTAGGTATTCAGTAATATTAATACGTCTTAACAAAATAATTACTCTAAATGTCTTGCACAATTCTTACATAAGAATTAAGTAACAGTAGTAGGCTACCGCGCTATTCACCGAATCAGGGTAAATGAGCTAGTTTTAGGCAACTTTTTTTGTAACGTTAAAAATATCGTAATAGTTTGTGTGTTTGGCCGTTTCTTGTCAACATAATTTATGCTTGAGTATATGTTTATTGCAGTAGGTTTTTACTGTCGTAGCAACGTTGTGATAATATTACCATCCTCCTTTTCTCTTTAAAAAGAGTGGTCTATACAAATGGTAGGATTTTAAATCCGGCTATTCCGCCGTGTTAACATGTGAGAAATAAATTCCACACGCGACAATTTCATCTAATAAACAAGCATCGAAGAAAAAAATTAAGGTTGTACTTAATGATTATTCGTAATTGAATTTAAATCAACTGGTTTGTTAGTTGCTTGAGGTCGAAATATCGTAAGTGCTACAGACCTCCGGTTTCGTCTTGCAACAAGTCGCGTGAGCTGCGCCTGTCATACATAGAGTATTGAAAATGTAGAGTTATTAAATTACTTAATATATTATAATGAGTATATTATTTAATAACATAAATAACACTTCTGTAAATCTATTTATTACTATTTTAAACAATTTTAATCCATAAAATAAGTTTAAATATATCTTTATAAAAATCCTAAAGGTTAATAAACAGGAATAAATAATTTGTTGTCATCGTCAAAACTCTTTCTTAGTATAATCGTATGTTATCACTATGTAACAAAAAAATTAAAAAACTTCAAATTGTTATGGCCTGTTTTTTTTCAAATAGAATAATAGAGAAAAAAATATGTTTCTATACATGAATTTCGGCAAACAGCAAATAGTATTTATAATTTTGTCCTCTCTGTTGTTATATACTCTACGTTTCACATTGACCACGAAATAAAGTGTTACGGAGCAGTTAAATGTCATTTCCTTGTCCAAGTGAACCGGTATCTGTATCAGGTACTCGTATGTATCGAACTAGTGTGGCCCATACACAAAAACAATAACACAACAATTTATATACAGCCTTTTTGATACCAAAATAATCAGCAAAATGTATCCTAGTGGAAAATAGTCTTAAATTTCAATCGTACTTTGAGTTAATATAATCTTACAAATATTATAAATGCGAATGTTTAGATGGATGTTTGTTAGAAGGTATATCTCCACAACGGCTGCGTAGATCTCACTGAAATTTGGCATAGATGTAGAACATAGTCTTGAAGAACACATTATTTAAATCACACAATGAATAGATTTAACTAATTGTAGTTAAAGATCTATGCGTAATCTATCTGTACTTCACATGATAGTAACAAGGTCGGGTCTCTATTTCCGTGACAGTTAATTAGGTTTCTTTATTTGCCTGCATTTAATACACTGCATTCAAATTCGTCTGGCGGCGGCCATTCGATAATCTACTGAGGGTCAAACACTCACTTCTCGTTTGAAGAAATATTATTATAATATACGAAATACTTCACATTATATAACAACTAGTAGTCGCCTGGAGTAGTCTATGTGTTCTTCCACACTATGTTCTATATGTATGCCAAATTTCATCGAGATCCGTTCAATCGTTCTGGAGATACCTTCAAACAAACATCTATGTATCCATCTACGCATTCGAATTTATAATGTTAATCAGATTCATGCGTATATACGGAGGAAATAAACAAAACACGATATACAATCTTTTTAAGTAACAATTTCATTACTTTATAAAACACCTAGGTCTGTGCTATCTTCAATTAGAAATCACTAAAATCCAGTAGTCTCATATTTAGTAACAAAAACTTGTAGAAAAGGAAAAAGTTTGTTCCTAAATCAAATGTTATAATAACATGGTTTGTATGGTATCACTCCATAATAAAAGAAAATAACTTAATAAAAGCTAACAATTGACTTCACAAAACCTACGTTTAATAAACGTTTCTATCTGCTTATAGCTTACGAGAGCCTACATAATGGTAGTTTCACACGAGGGCAGATAGTAGACAGAAATTTACTTCCACAATTTCAATGCACATGACGATACAAAACAATACAGTCAGTGTGCTTTCAAACAATAGTAGTACTGTTCTGTTCCACTGTTCTGCCTTTGCCGTCTTCGTGGTAAATAAGATCTAGTCCACCTCGTAGGCTGGTCGCATTCCTACCACAGAGGTCATCGCTGTCAGATAGACGCACCATTTACCTGTTAAAACATCATTTAACTGTTTATGCTGCGTTTATATAATAAAATATAATCTTATCCAAGATGCAGTATTTAAAATAAAGGACAATAGCATTTGATTTTTATTATAATTACGAGACGCCCTTAAATCGTTAATGGAATTTGGAATTACCTCCGAAGATATCTCCAGAATGGCTCCATCGTACTAGACAAAATTTTAGTATAGCTGTAAAAAACAGTTAATATGGATACGGCTTAATTATTAAACTGATATATAAACACGGCTAAACACTCACGTATATCCGTCCGGTGGCAGCACCGACTAGTTTCGAGCCCATCGGGGGCCCTACATCAGGATGAGTGGTACTGGTATTATTTCGCGGACGTGGCCCGTCGCTCAGTGAGCGGTGAGCACGAAAGTTTGAATAATGGCTTAATTATTATTCGAGAAATTTGTACAAACGGTGTGAGATATAGATATAGATATAGATTTGATTTATTTATTTACTCAATAAATCCACAACGATTTAAAAGCGCAGATATAGAACATAGTCTCGAGTAAAATATGAGATATTTTTTATCTTTCTGTTTTCTGCGAAGTCGACGTCGCAGGCAAATGCTAGTATTGTATAATACTCTCTATTGTCTTATTATTTAGATATTATGACAAATATCTTGTTTATAAGTTGCCAATGAATGTCATCTGTTCCAAAAAGATGATAGATTGTTGTGTAAAACGAGCAGGACATTAAAAATGCATTAGACTTGTTGTTTAAGTGTAAGCAATGAGAAGCGAGGACGAAACAATGTCGCTAACACCTTATGAGAATAAGGCTTTATTGAAGTATTAACTTTTCGAAGAAAAAACCTTTAAGTAAAATACACAATATCAAGTTAGAATTTAAAAATTAAATTGGTTGTAGAGTATTGAAAATCATCGACCCTTAGTGTAGATTTATCATATTAACACAAAGGAAGACCAATTAACAACTCTGTGTTGCATTTAAACCTAAGCTACCAGTTTGGTTAAAACAGATTGGAATAATTGCGTCTCTTTTTGTATTTGTGAAGGCATAAAACACGAACTACAGATTTTAAAAACATTTTGCATTTTGAAAACATGATGCAATTTTACGTTTTACACTAAGCAACGCTCTATGCATTGTGTTGTTTCCAACCTTTGTTAATAGATGTCGCTGTAACGGCTAATGTAAATTCCCTATTCCTGAAACAAATGAATCTTAGTAAATGCTGGTGTAGTTTTGTAAAGGAGGTTATTTTTTTATTTATTTTTAAATTAAATAAAGTTGTCAAGTAACTATTATCTAATTGAAATCAATTTGTGGTCTCTATAATTCGTAATCATCAGCAAAGAAATATAATATTTTCTTATTAAACATAGCTATATTAAATTAAACTGTGTTAATTTTCGTATTCATAAGTTACAGTAATTTCCTTCAAAAAAGGTCTCCGCTTCTTGTAAATACTGTAAATTAAGGATATGATTTTTTTCTGTTAATATTTTAATTCCAAGAACAACTACATTAACAAAAAAACTATCGGATGTTTGAGTCAACTCAGTTCATGTCCTGTATATAACTATATTAATAGTTTCATTACTTAATCCATTCTATTTCAATGACCTGTATAATATAAGCTGTCCCGGATATTAAGATTTTTTTTTAACAAACTATTTGTACGCCCGCGACTCTGTCCGCGCGGAATTATACTTAATTAGTAGCATATGTGTTTCTTTCTGACTATGTTCTATATGTATGTCAAATTTCAGCGCGATATGTAGCACTTCTGGAGATACCTTCAAACAAACAACCATACATCCATCCAAACATTCGCATTTATAGTATTAGTAAAATCTAGAAGTTGGTACCTACACAAATGTCGCAAAACTCACCTAAATTTCAAACAAGGAATTTTTAATCTCTTTTGTTTTTTCATCACTTATTATTAGGCTTCGAAGTTAGTGTTGGAAATTACGTCACTAACCCTTGGTTTCTGAGACCTACATGTCTGTATAAAACATATCGTCATCTCCTTTTGGTCTCAGAAACCCACGATTAGTTATATAATATGCCTTAATTACAACTAGCATTGCAATATAATTCCTTTTGGTAGATAATTAAAAATATATATATCGGTTGATCTAGGTCGCGTTAGTTAGTAGGCGACCTAAGGTTAGAATAAAAACGTACCTCGCCTCTCATGATACGAGACGCATTGTGTATTCGGACACCGTTTGCTCGACTTAATACATAAAACATCGAACTGCACACAATAATGTACACTTTCTATCTTAAACACTATATAATGGTGTAAATTGTATCAACTTTCAACTTATTTATACATACAATTATATTTATATTAAAAAAAAAAGTCAAGTATTTATATCTCATGTGCTGACTGTCAAATTATTTAAGCTATTGCTATAAGTGTAGACTTGTAAATAGCTATATGTTAACTATCTTGTGTCTATTATTGTTACTTTCTAGCTGTAAGTCTACCATGTAAATAAATAAATAAATAAATATTCGTTGTGGAAATAATATGTGCTGACAGAGCACATATTATTTCCACAACGAAGATGGAGTTGATATGTACCATATTGAATGAAATCTTACTTCTTACATTATAAATGCGAAAGTTTAGATCGACGGGTGGATTGATGTGTGAAGGTTTCTCGTCGATGAAATTTTGGCATACATGTAGAACATAATCTGGAAGAACACAATTAAGTTTTTTTTTAATTTCACGCGGACGGAGTGCGAGCATAAACTAGTGTGAGAAATAAATAAAACAGTAATAAATATGTAAGAGTATTAATATATTTATTTCAAACTTGTTCTATCAATATGTGTAGAAAAGAGAATTAATTGCGAAATTGTTTCAAAAGATTTCAACAATTTCCAATCGTTGAATTGTCGCAGTTCAATATACTTTTGCTTTATCGTTACTTTATATAATTTTGAAATAGCATAATAAAACTTTACGTACGCAACAATAATTTGTACTCATAAAGCACAAAGAGCGGTGAAAGCTGAGTGGTTACAAACTTACAATGCAAGTCACAGGTTGCAATCTTTTCAAGCAAAAATGTCACATTTTCGGGATACTGTACCTTCAAACGTAAATCTAAAATTATTACTTACTTATATTTTTGGTATAAATTATTCCTTTGAGTTACATTTAAATAAAAATAGGCAATTAAATCTGTCAAATTTTCTGCTACAATAAACTAAAAGTGTTGGATAGCGGTGGTGCGTTGATCATCATAAAAGGGTGTTTTTTATCTTTACCCTCTTCCCCGTTTAACCCCTGACTTCTCAAATACAAATGTGTGTGCTACTGCATCTAATTCGGCAAATATCATTAATTTTACTATTAGTACTCGATAGTTAATACAGTAACTAAAAGATAAGTAACTACAGTAACTAAAGGATACAATCGTCATCCCCTTTGCCGAAAAAAATATGATAAAGGTGTTCAGTGAAAGGTTTCCCGGCAGTATAAAAGTGGAGTGCACAAGCGCCGCGCCTCTGATTTGACGATATGACGCCGCTCGCCACTTTGGTACGTGATAATATTATTAAATAAACATATAAAAATGTCAAATTATTATCAGGAAATAGAGTAGTCATTTTTATCAATATTTTAATATTTAAATTTTTATTTGTCTTATTTCTAATGGTTGTTTTTGAATTTCGAATTTTACTGTTTTTTTAAGTTTTAATAAAAAAAATCTACAAAAAAGGTTAAATATTAAATAAAAATTATTACTCTAAGCTTACGAATTTGCTCTATTTTTGTTTTAATTATTATTAAGTGATAGCTTTATATTTAAATATATCGTAATTTTGTGTAACGTGCCAGTTTTTATGACATTAATACAATGACCTTTTATAGCAAAGTCAAGTGAATTTTCCGCATTAGTTTTACTTTCTAATAGTTAATGTGTGCGTGTGATACTCAAGTGACGTCACTGGTTGCCTTAGTGTGTGTTAATTAAAGTGTTGTGCGAAGTAAACGCTTGTGATGACATAGTGATAGAATATAGTTCATATATTTATAAATAGTGGTCAATCTACGTTTGCATTCAACTTATAGGATGTGAGTTTCCATTGTGTAAAAACAATACTATCGTCCCATTCATTCTCTTTGAAAAAAACAAAGACAAAATATATATTAATAGAAATACCACGGTTCACGTTTGAAGTTTGATTGATTAAATTGCATATTATAGTCGGTTTTGGCTGTCAAAAGACTCGTATTAAAACATACTGTTGTCTCTCTTGTATCTGAAAGAGTGAGCAGGATACCCATAGTGACTGTATTCTGTCTTCTTTTGCTTTCCTCAAGTTGTTTTTCAAATAGTTGGGTAACAAATAGTCAATACCCATTTCCATGTTTCCCAACCGAAATTAAACGATAAACTTTCCTACGACTATTAAATTTAATTACGATTAGGAAAGGGATTTATTAATTTTCACATCGTTACGCTTGGATACATAGTTAAGCCTTGAGGGCTCAGCGGTGAGTGTGCGGGGTGTCGAGTGTCGGTCAGTGGGTTGCAATCACTGCACGTAATGCCTTTGTGAAATTGTAATATTGCACGATGATAATATTGCATTGCAAATGGAAAACTTTAATCATCTATATTTTGCATAGTTTAAAGACATACAGTTACAAGCAGAATAATTGTTCCTTTTTATTTTCACATTTATAATGCACTTTTGCACTAATTCATTAATTTACTTATATTTATCTTATCATTAATTAAGTTAAAGTAGACAAAATAGACGCCGAAATATTTTTTATTGCAAATAATTTTTATAGTTAACGACTTAAAGTTTTTTAATCACGGACTAAACTTTGGCACATCGTGGAATTAAGTTTATTATTCAAGTGTTTATTATATTCAAGTACCAAAGTTTCTTTTTTTATCAGAATGTTAGAAGTTGTATGAAATATATTATACTTAACCAATGTAGTACACATACAATTTATGATAAAGGACTAGGTGTGTAGGCGTGGTGGGCAGATAATACCTCGTAGGTCAAACTGCACAGTAACCAGACGACGGTATAGTAACTATAATGAAAAGGTTTTCAAGCTCTTTATTAATTTAATATAGATATATGTCATACGCAGTGTAACTTTAATAGATACCAGAGTTCTCCCTGAGTAGAGGTTAGCATTAAACATGTCATTTATTAACTAACAATTTAGTTTATGCTAAAATGGTAAAGATGCTTCCTCAACGAAAGTCTTGTGATAATTTCTTACCCACCTGTCAACTGTTACAACCGCGAATACTAATTTGTTTAAATCAGTTTTCGTTTACAACGATCTTTGTCTTTTTTTTTCAAATAATCTTAAATACTAATTGAAATTGACTTAATTTCTATACACCTATGTAATCGTATCAATTCTTACTATTAACTTAATATTATAAATGCGAATGTTTAGATGGATGGATGTATATTAGAAGGTATATCCAAAAAACCTGCATGTATCTCGATGTTATCTGGCTTACACATAGCATATTCTGAAAGAAAACATAGGCTCCTGAAGTTTTTTTAATTGCATGCGGACGGTGTCGCAGGCGACAGTTAGTCTTTTATAAGCAAGTTATTGTGTCTTTTTAAATAAATTATAGGAAATGAATACAATATTATAGATAATTAAGTTGCTTTTATCAGCGCAAATAGACTTGATACTTTCAAGGTTTGCATCGATTTAAAAGTAACGACATGTCAGTAACGAGTCGCTCCTTTTTGTTTTATTCATATCACAGAGGCCACAACTTGACAGAAAAATTAAATACTCTTGTATCCATGATTGTAGAAGTTTATAGGATTAATCCATATCGGATATAATTAACTATTTGGTTCATTTTCAAATACGATTTCTATGTGGTCATTTTATTAACAAAAACAACTTTCTAAATAAGCTTTACTGAATAATTTTAAATTTCTATAACCACAATTTACAAAACTATTATATTGAAATATTTAACGAAATAACCATTAGCCACTTTTGTGCTTTACCTGTTAAATAACACTTTAATTGTCAACATTTAAAGATATTTGCTATATTATTGTAATTTTTTAAATATTTAAACGGGACTATCCTGACAGTGACAGATATCATGTCCACTCTAGTGTTAGTGAACGGCATGCAACCGGACCGTGGCCTCTAAATATTTCTACTTTCCGATTCGACGCCCTTTTGTATGAATTATAGACACTTGAGGAACAGATCTCGTCCCACTATAAACAGTAATAAGTGAATTTAATATACCTTCATTAGAGGTTTTATATTTTTTTATGCGTTATATATACGGAAGTTGCAGCGAAGCGCTACGAATTATGTAGAGATGATACTGCTACGTCGTAGCGTATGACGTCACAGTTACTTACTTTTTGCTCATAACATGTTATACGTAATTTGGCAATTTTGTCATTAATTTGGTATATAAAATGCTTATTATAGGACGTATTTAGGTTATTTTTTTCATGGGTCATATTTTACTGACGACATTTTTAATAAATTATAAAAAATAAATTCTCAGAAGATCTTCGTGTATGGTTCACTTTTGCAATAAGGAAATTGCGTTATATACTTTTTAAATTTTTTCAACACTTAGAAATGAATTTATTGAGTAAATAAAAGACCAAAATAATAAATAAAAGACATACCATTTAAGACATTAAATATAAAGGTCGTTTTATTTTAAAATTAGATAATTATTGACCTTGACTTACTTTCAAATCATTGGCATGTCCCGTGCAATAAATTTTATCTGGTAACATTGTCGCTTAAGTGAGTTACACATTTTTAAGTTGAAACTTAGGTAATAGTCTATTAAAACTTTTAATAGCTTAGTGATAACGATTTATATTAACCTAATTAGATTCAAAAGTAGACAAAACTTGAGATTTATTTTTTATTTGTCATTTTATAACGTAGCGTGAATCTAATGAACAACTAATTTAGTTTTAGTCATGAACAAACTTTAAAACCATTATAAAGAAACTAAATAAACACTAGATAACTATATTTTACATCAAATACTTATCAGGATGATTAAATGTTCTAACACATATGCAATATCTCGTTTATTTACGTAACTTTTAAGTAACTTTAAATATAACAATATATTTATTCGTGCATATCAGAGATCGTTGACCTCTTCTATTTTTTATGTAGTATTTATTGCGTGGTAAGTGCTCGCGCGTGGCCATTGTGTCGGCTAGTCATAGCGCGGCAACCGAATGGAAATTGAATGAAATTTGACACGTAAATTCATCATTGCGTGAAGTAAATGGTACAAGGGACGTACTGCAAGCGAACGATTCCAATGCAGAGACAGTCGACTGTAAAAAATGTTGCTTGCATTTGTTTCTCCATGTTATTTTTCTTATGTCTTAGTTTAGACCGCAGCGCTAAGTTAAATCATACAAGCAAACTAAAATCCGTTTTGGGCCTTACGTGCGATGTGTCCGGTGAAGACAAAAGAACGCGTACTTTAAGCGTCAACTCATGCAGGTCCCTGGTGACTTTAGTCCACTACGATGGTCCTATGCGGATTGACTAATTGATATAATGTCTTATATATATAAAATTCTCGTGTCACAATTTTCGTTCTTCTCCGAATCGGCTTGACCGATTTTCATGAAATTTTGTGAGCACATTGAGTAGGTCTGAGAATCGGCCAACATCTGTTTTAGCCCGTGCGAACGAAGTCGCGGGCGACAGCTAGTTACATATATAATTTGGTTGCCTTAATAATTACAAAATACGCTAACGTCGATGTCTTGGGCTAAGTTTATTTTCGCGAATATAACAATAATTCTGTGGGTACGCAACCGCAAGGTCGCTCGCCATGTTTCACGTCCACTTTGACCAATCTAGTAATTGGAGTAAATGTTTAGAGTAAAAAATATTTAAGTCACGTTTGTTATAATTTTTTTAAGTATAATTCAATTAAGTTACGATACGCTTTTAAATACTAATATAAAAAGCTTTACCGAGTCTTTCTCGTGAAACTCGGGGAATCGTAAAGATTTTCCAGATAAAAAAAGAGATATAATAACGAAATTTAAATAAAAGCCCTAGCAGTAATTTTTTTAGTAGTATAGATAGATATTTGTTTGATATAAGTACTTTATTTTGTCATGTAAGCATAGTAACATGCTAGTATCACACGTCCAAGTTATCACCAGAATCCTGTCATTTGTTTCCAGTTATTACTGAGCGTGTGTGGCGCGCTGGCGCAGTACGCGGAGGACCGTGCTCCCCGTTACATCGCCACGGAGCCCAAGGTCACCTCTACACCAGTGCCTATACTCAAACAGATCAACAGGTACATACAACATTTGTTAATTTTCTCTTCTAACATAATATAGTTCTATGTAATAGTTCTTACTGACTAACTGCAGCAATCGGTTCGTTAAGTTTTTTTAACTAAAATATTAGCAGATTTTTGTGAATTTACTTATATTTCTTTCTACCATTCCAACTAAGCTCTAGGCTTGTGCTAGGATATGGTTTATGACAATAGTCGAAGGGCAGGATTCGAAGTCTCGACCACGTGATCGGAAATCCGTACCTCTAACCATTAGGCTATTGGCTTTTTAGTCGTTAAATAAGAACCTTATAGATTTAGTAACAGATATCTGCCATAACTAATTCTGTCTGAATTCTTGTTTAGGCACAATGAAGACGGTTCTTATACTTATGGATATGAAGCCGCCGATGGTTCATTCAAAATCGAGACAAAGTCTGAAGCCGGCGAAGTTAAAGGCAAATACGGATACAAAGACGACACCGGTAAAGTAAGTAATGTTTAATGTATTATCGGTTTTTAGGTTTCATTTATTAAAGAAAAGTAACATAGTATAATATAAATAAACAAAAATATCATTTGCATTGGTCCGACATCTATCAGATGATAAAACTAAACTAATGCCATTATTTAAACTTCAAACCAGTCCTAGGATATGGTTCCTAATAGTCCAATGGTAGAATTCTAAACCACGACTGCAAGTAGTCTCTTCTTAATCAATATTTTATTTGAAACTCCCAAGTCTTTTGAAGCCAGTAATAACCCCTACATAGAATTTAAAAAAATGTTGAAATATGCTTATTGTCAATTCCAGTTACGTGTGATCGAGTACGGCGCCAACAAATACGGGTTCCAGCCGGCGGGTGAGGGCATCACTGTCGCGCCGCCCACACTCGTAGATGAGTCCACCAGGGATGAAGGACTACGGCCCAGCAAGCATCAGGTACTGCTGTTTTTTAAACATCTTCTTGGCTCAGAACATCGCACGGATTGCTTAGCGCAGAAGATAATTTTACATGAACTGAAACATACGGGGATACGGGCGGCACATTCGCGACAAAGTTTAACGGCTAATGTCATATAATATAGGTGATTAATATTTTAGATGCAAATTGTTAAGTAATCATAAACAATGTGCAGCAGGGTGGCAGATCCCAGTACAGAGCCCCAGCCCAGGCGCAGTCTATTGACTATGACTACGAGGAGCCAGCACCTGCACCGCGTCCCGCACCCCGCCCCGCGCCCCAGCAGCAGTACCGCCCGGCCCCTCCGCCGCAGCCCCAACAGCAGTACAGGCCGGCACCTCCCCCGCAGCCTCAGTACCGCCCGGCACCTCCGCAGCCCCAACAACAGTACCGCCCCGCACCTCAATCAGCACCCACACCTCCTAAAGTACGCATATCATTTTTGTCTTATTAGGTCCTAGTATTTATTGGTAGATACTAAAGTGTTGTAGATAGATTTTATAACAGATTTGAGGATGCTAGCCTGTAATAATTATGTACATTAAATAAAGTAAATTTAAGGTGACGATTATACGACTAATTCCATCACTATGGGCATTTTTACTTAAATTAATAATGATTTGAATAAGAACATTAAAATTTTATTTTAATCCAATTTATTTACATTACACCAGCCACAATTCTTCGCGGGTGCAGCACCAACACCAGTAGAGCAGGATAACTTCTTCAATCCAGAGCCCCAGCAGAGACAATACAAGCCCAAGCAGGAGTTCAGGCCGGCTCCTCAGCCCCAGCAGTTCTCCTCCAGGCCTCAAGAGTTCAACTCTCAGTTCGACCAGGCACCGGCCAGGTTCCCAACACAGAACCAGATCCCACAACAACGACAGTCATTTTCCATGCTTGATCAACTCCTGAAAGAATACTCCTTACCCCAAGGAGGTTCAGCACCTCTCCATGATATCAGCTTCGGGTCCTACTAGTTTCGGAATTAATGAATTTTTATATTGTAAATATTTAGTGTACTTTTTTAATTAAAAACAATAAAGAAATCTTTTGGTTTATATAAATTCTACAATTGAACATAAGTTTGTTCAAATGTAGCATTTTTAAGAAAACTAAGAAGAAAGTTAAATGCTGTGAAAATACTCAATAAAATATGATATAAATTAGTATGTATAAAAAAACAATTTGGATTTTGTTTTGAATCGTATCTGTTAGTTAAATAGAGAAATTAAAAAGAACCTTAAACGGATCTCAATAGTATTTGTGTTATAAAATAAAATTATTAAAGATTTTTATTCAATCTATTCATTGAAAAAAAACAATATTAACTGTTTAGTTGCCATTTGATCACACGAATTAACGTGAAAACACATATTAAAAATATTAAAATTTATTTATTTTAAAACATGTATTATTCCTGCAAATCCCGACCTACTTACTTTAATTCTATTGTTTTCAAATTATAACTATATGTTCAAATTAATGCGGTAACTAACCGTGGGTTTCTGACAACAAAATTACCTTTTATAACATGATGTTATCCCTGTTTTGCCAAAGATAATGACAGGAATATGTTTAAAACAGAGATTATGATCAAAGAAACCAACGATTAATGACGTAGAATAATCGACAGTTTTTATAAATATTGTCATGTAATTTAAATCTTTTTCATCTATGTAACTTCTAAACCACTTTGAAAAGAATTGACGAATGTGGTACTTTATCATCATCATCATCAGCTCACTATACGTCCCCATCGAGGGGCTCGGAGCCTACCCTAAGTTAAAGATAATTAGGCCATAGTCAAACCACGCTGCCCAAGTACGGGTTGGTTGACTTCACACATATCTTTGAACTTCTTCTCAGATGTGTGCAGGTTGCATCACGGTGTTTTCCTTCACCGTAAGAACATAGGATAAATGTACATATGTAAATCGGAAATCGAAAAACACATTGGTACATGGCGGGATTGGAACCCAGGACCTGCAGATTGCAAGTCAAGTGCTTGACCCCTGAGCCACCGCGGCTCACTTTGGTACTTTATATCTTTTCCCAATTAATAGCTTACAAATACAATAAAATAATAAGGAACGTGTATTAGATATTCTACAACTATTTATATTGTGCAGTTTGAGGGCCGTGGGACAGATTCCCACAATATACAACCAGTTGAAACAATGGATCTCTTACTTGCACATATGCTTGTTTTCCCACTCACTTACGCAACAAGATCGTTATTTACTTTGTCTATATTTAGAGTAGAAGCCTATGGATATTTACTTTGTACAGTTGGATTTTTTTTTAAGTATACGCGAGATAAGTCTGTACTGGAACTGTTCTTTGACAAAATAAAAAGTACCTCTAAAACTTTTAGGTTATGTATCTTATATCTTTAAATGAGCAATTCTTGTATATTTATTCATAATTGGAATCTCGGAATCGGCTCCAACGATTATCATAAAATTTAGTATATAGGGGGTTTCGGGGGCGATAAATCTAGCTAGGAATCATTTTTAGAAAATGTCATTTTATTCGTGTTTTATCGATAATCAACTTAAACATAAACTTAACTTTTTATATCGGTTAGATCGAAAAATATTATTCATATTTCATGATTTTATTAGTAATTCGTACTTAAATATAATTTCCAAAAAACAATTAGAAAAAAAAAATACCGAGCAAAGCTCAGTCATCCAAGTACTTAAGAGTTAAAAAAGGAAAGTACACAATAATAATAACTAAATAATGTCATACTAGTTTGTGTGTATATAGACAATTTAAAGGACGGACTCCAAAACTAATCTATTGAACTTACAACAAGAGAAACAAGTGAGACGCATCAACAACTCGGGGCTGATTATTGACAAGACCTAACAGTTGAAGATAGCAAAAACCTCTTTTATCACAAGATGAATTTTTAAACGCATGAAACTTAAGAGTTACTGGCTTCAATTTAGTTCTCGTACCGTGAAGGTTACCTATTGTAGGCCGGGTAGTGTAACCCACGGCCTTGTGACTACACACACCTGTGGGAGAGTCGCCCTTCTCATTATGTTGACTAAACACATATTTTATCAAACAATAGTATACTCTTTTTTTGTTTATAAAAATACAATGTTCTAAAGCAGTATCAAATTATTTAACTCTTTTGAAATAGATCGAAAACAGGATCATCACACACGCCATCTTTTGGCTACATCGTCTCTTAATATTGTACCTAGATCAAGTCTTATCATTTTAGTTCATTGTAAAAAAAGAATGACTTCAGTGTCTTGTCAAAATGCACTGTGTAAAAGTGCACTGCACTTACACTTGTAAAAGTGTAGTGTGTATAAGTTAATTCAACTATTTACAATTGAATCTTTTACCATTGGATAAATTTGTTCTAATTAGAGGTATATAGGTATTCAAAATTTTCGTTATGTAATAAATAATTCTAAATAGATCGACGAGATTAAATCACAATCAATGTGTAAGAATCTGTAACGCAACATGTAACAATGACAGACATGTTGTGGAACAATACAGTGGCCTGGTTGCTCCCACACTAGTTTTTTTGATTACTACTTGTGTCTAATATATGAGCCTTTGTTCATTGCGAGATGGGATGGCCTAATATTTTGTTATCTTTGGTATATTCACAAATTAAGTATTTAAAAATAATTAAGTGACGTAAAAAAATTTAGTCTATTGAAATGATTACTAGTGAAATAATTTAAAGCAAAACATTTATTAAAAAATCGTACAAAATATTTACAAAATTGGAGAATTGTACTAAAATATCACTTGTAAATTAAACCTAAAAGTAAAAGAACTAACCTAATGTCTATGCACGGGCTTCGCCTGTGAGCCCTCCTCACCGAGGATCTGCACGTTCCTGACCTGCTTCCGTGTGGGTGCGGCCGTCGTCAGCTCGGTAGAGGGCGCTGGCGTCGGCATGAAGTCGGGGTTGATGGCCAGCATCAGCATCTTCAGCAGTAACGCCTCGCGGATGTCAGCCGGCAAGTACTCTGGCGTCTCTTCGATGTTATTCGAAGACGAGCCAGTCGCGTCGTACGGCCGAGAGTACAGCCTCCTCCTCGGCACGTACCGCTGGCTCTCGTACAGATTGCTGTCGTAGTTCATCTGATTCGAGTACACGTCTTGCCTGTACTGTTGCTGCTGGTCGTATCTGTAGTCATATTGATCTTCATCCATGTACCGTCGCGCCATCTGGTGACGATTGTAGTCGATATTCTGCCGGTAGACCGGCAGCGGCTGGTACGGAGGACCAGGAGCTACGATCTGATCCATTAGAGATTGTAAGCGATTCTGACGAAGTATCAAAATCTGAAGGAGGCGTTTTAAATCTCTCGTGCTCACTGGCGCTTGTATTGAGTTCATTTCTTCGAGTGGGTCGTATCTCTGCTGGTACACGACCGGTGTAGGCGTAGATCGGTACGGGTTGACGAATCGGGCTTGGTATCCTTGAATAGGAACACCTCTCTCGTCCACTGGGATAGGAATAATTCTACCGACAGGTCTCATATCATACGGAATCGTCACTGGTTCCGCTGTGCTTTTAGTTGGATGAGCTATGGGCGTTTCCTTTTCTATCTGTTGCTCCAGTACTTTTTCGGGGTACTCAAAGTGAAGAAATGGCCGCTGATTCCCAATAGGTACCGGTGCTCCCGGATTGTCTCGCAAATATTCCTCGGTCCTGAAGTGAACAGTGGGTTGGGGTCTTCGGTAAATCGGTTCCTGGTATAGTCTGCCGTCTGTATCTCTGTGTGTTTGTATATGGACAACCGGGACGGGATTCGTTGTAACAACACTTTGTTGATCGAAAACCCGACCTGTACTGGCTTCCACCGTTGTTTCCTGCTCCTCTGCAGCATCTTGGTAGTGCCGCTGCAACTTTTGTCGAGCAGTGACCAAGCTATGGAGCGGGAGAATCCTAGGTCGCGAAGTAGTGGTAGTGAAGAGCGGACGCACCGATCCGTGAGATTGATGACCGCCATATACGTCAGTGGAATCATCTCCTACCGATTGCTGCAGACTCAGCATGTGCAGATTGGGGCTAGTTCCAGGCAATTCCCGACGTATTGTATTCGCTTTGTTCGCTTCGGGCTCATCTTCGTCGATGTGCTCATGGACCGGCTTCACTGTTGATGGTAAATTCGTAGTCGTTTGTTTTGTAATTAAGTCGTCCTTGACTGTCGCTGAGGTAGGTTTCGAAATCTGAGTCCTAGTCTTAGATTCTTCTCTAGATTTGTATAGATTTAAGATATTACTTGTGGTCTCTTCTATTTTTTCAGTGGTAACATCGAGATTAGTCGTTGGTCTTGTAGGCACTGGCCGTCTTCGGGGTATAGACTGTATAACAGTTCCTCTAGTTGCACTCTCCCTGATGCCGCTCCTTGTGGGGTACACGACGGTTGCCAACGGTCGTCTAGTTGTCGATGAAATAGTCTTGTTGACTCTGACGACCATTGTGGGCGTGCTGGGTGTCGTACTCGTCGTTACCGGGACGGGGGTGGTGTCGCCGGACGACGAATACGTCACGCGTTTTATCTCTCCATCCTGATCGATATATCCAAATGTTCCCTTGACGTTCCCGAGGACATCTCTGCTCTCGATTTTGAAGGTGCCGTCGTCAGCCTCGTACCCGATAGTATATGATCCGTCCTCGTTCAGTCGTCGTATTTGTTTTACGATTTCCACCTTACCGGGGTCTGCCGTTTCGCTGACGGTAAGAATTTCTTTAGTGGAGTTGGTTGAGGTTTCGTGTGTCGTGGCATTGTTGGGAGCGCTGGTGGTTGTATCAGTAGCGGCGGGCGAGGTGGCTGCTATGGTGACCGCCAGGCACGCGGCGAACACGAGATGCAAACACAGCATGGCGCTAGGCGCTAGGCCGACGGGGGCAGCATGCCGGCGCTACGGCGGCGCCGCGCCCGTTGCCTCCCTATATAAAATATCGCCCCACTCGCGGCCGCAGCGTGCGAACAACTTACGCAAACCGCACCATTGTTGTCATTTCATTATCTGAAACGGAAAATCTTTTTTCTATGCGTCTGCACATACTGTAATCGCAATTGTCTAATTATCCACGAAATTTCTAGAATGTTAAATCGTGATGACAGTTTTCAACACTTTATAAATAAGTATTAGTTGTAATATTGCAAGCTGGATATGTTGCGTCTTCAATGAAATACTAAAACTATTTTCTTGTACTCTAATTAGTGGATTGTTTGGTAACGATGGCGGTGTCTTTGTTAATTCTTCTCACGCTGCACCTCAAGGTTGAGTTGTTTGTTTTGTTTATCGTTAAACAATAAATCAAAGTTCATGTTATTTTAACAAATCTTATTGCGCACTGTAGGTTTGTCAGTGTTAACTTGCATTAAAAGTGAAGGTTCGTAGCCTGATTATTTTATAAGTAAGTCGTTTCTTAACTACTTTTTTTTATATTTTTGAACATACTATGTTAAAGAAACAGCAGACAATCAAAATTATCAATCTTATAGTACGTATAATGCATTAAAGGAAATGGTAACGTCCTGAATCTCATTAAATTTACACTCGACTCTTCATGAACAATGGTAAAGCTAGATATATAGTTAACAAGACTCTTAAGATATAAATCATATACACTGATGTTAGAGAGGAGGTTATGTAAGAGTCAGTAAAATTATTTCCCATCCTCGTTCTCTTTCGCTATGATATCAAACTGTTCACATGTGCTATCGTTTTTATAGATCTTGTATCAATACATATATTACATACTTATATACTTACATATCACAGACGTACATCTATCGAAAAAAACAACAACTACAATGTTACTGACGCCCGTTACTCAGAAGGATAGGCAGAGACACGGACCTCCATTTGGCGCAGTCCTGACAAGCCCTTCTCGCTTCTTCTACATTAATATCTACGCAAAATTTATTATTTCATTAATTAAATAAATTATTAGTAAGATATTCTTATTTACCGGTTTAATATTAAGTAATTGAATTTCATACAATAACCGTAATAATTATGATTTATTTTATTGCATTCTATATTGTTTAAGAGCCATCTATTGGTGACAACTGAAAACTTTTGTATAAAGCTTACAAAAAGCACTTTTTGTCTCCAAAAGATGAAGACAGATGGCGGGAAAGTATCGTTTCAATTGTTTTCCCTATAAATTGTTTTGTTTACACTTAACAAATACTATTGAAAACTATCTGATAGAACACATAGAAAATCGAAATTTTTAATTTCAAAACCAATCCAATTAAATAAAACAAAAAAAAATTATATTTGTCTACGTCCTTGCTTATGTTTTATACTAAACAACCAAGCGATGACATTATATCTGGATGTTTAAATGATTTTTATAGTTTCATCTCTGGATATCTCTCGATTGATTATTTATAAATAGAAATCACAGGCAAAATAATTTTGTTCCAAGTGTTTCCCAACGTTATCGTGGCCGCATATAACTTGCGACTCTGCAAATTATTTCGGTGTTATTGTGGTTGATGTTAATTGTTATTTATCTTCCAATCAGTCCGAACGTAATCGTTCCTTTTACAAATTCTTAGATCCGAATCATCGCTAATTGACAGCGGTGTAACATTATCGTGTGTAACACATAATTATTATTGTATCGATTATACAAAAAGCATGTGTTACGTAACATGAATAATGTAACATTTAATATGCTTTAATACACTTCCATATTATTAAGAAATTCTTTTAAAATCGTTAAGAACTAAATTCTTCGTTAACATACTGTACTTTATCATAGTATAGATTATTCTTAACGTTTTATTGATTAACATAGTATGGTTATTTTGCATGGCATTTGCCAAATGCATACTTACTTTTGTTTATCCAAAGAAAATTGTCGCCACAGCCGCCCCGGTCGCTTCAATTAAGGGATTATAATTAAACACGTTGATAATAATATAAAAAATATAATTTATTATTAAAAACAAGAATTATTACAAATTACTATTGCAATTTTTTTTACACAGCGTCCCACACGGAACTATCGGAGACTCATGTACAAAATGTTTCGTTCGTAACATTACAAACTTACAACTAAACTTTACTAAGTACAGCCGTCACATTATTAACTGAGACATCTTATACAACTATCGGACTCTTTTACACAAAATCTGTCCATTAAAGTGGTATTAGTGTGCTAATCGTAAAAAAATATATCGATATGTGATAGTGATATACTTGTGATATCAGACTATCCATGTGCTTTGTAGTAATAACTCTACACTAAACAGTACTCAGTTAATAATGACCGACATTACGATAAGGTACAGAAGACACAGAGTAATATGTACAAATGCGGCAGCCACTGTCCCCACAACTAAACACGTGCAACCACACAACAACCGAGCGACCGATGACATCTGACTTGTGATTCGTTATGGCCATTTCGGACTAAATCGATCGCTAGCTGTAACAGTTCATACACTAAGCAACTAGAACTGGATGCCGTGTCCCCGCAGGAAGGCGTCGATCTGACCCGAGGACGGCGATTCCCCGCGAGGAGCCACGTAGTAGTATTGCGGAGCGGGTCGTGGAGCCGACTGGCTCTGTGCGGGTTGATTCTGGGCCAGGTGCTGCGCCTGCGCTCGTGCTGCGGCACGGTCCCTCTGTAGCTGGCTCTGCTGCAGCTGCTGCTGTTGCGCGAACAGCTGCTGTGAGCTCTGGAACTGTGTCTCGGATTGCTGCCTCTGGTACAACTCTTGAGGGTTGGCCACCTGGTGCCTGTATAGTGGCGCGCTGGAAGCCGGGGGCCCAGCTGGTATTTGCGGAGATGGGATGAAAGGTCTCTGAGCCTGAGGTTGCCGCTGAGCGACAAACGGTTGCAGTCTTTGATTAAGATTCAATTCTCCCTTTGTTTGCGGAAGCGTTTGGTAAAGTTGAGTATTGTACTGTCCACTGGAAGGATCGTACACTAATTCGGTCGAGTATAGAGGGTTGCCGCTGGGCGCTGGAGCCGCAATAGTAGTCTTCTGTTGTGTGTTCAAGGACGAAGGTGTGGTCGATTGGTATTGATTTTCCCTGTGAAATTTAGCAAATTCGGCAGCAAAATCTATTTGACCCGGTCGTCCAGTTGTCACCGCTACCGGAGAAGGAGACGGCGAATAGTTTGGTTCTGGGCTGTACTGAATCTGGGGTTGGGGCTGAGGCTGCGGTTGAGGTTTAGGAGTCACTTGCACCAATTGTGGCCTGAAAGTGGTCGCTGGAGGAAGAGCCCTGGGGGTGGACACTGGTAGAGGACGAGGAGTGATGGCAATCTGTTGCGGTTGTTGGTAAATTGGCCTCCTCACGGGTGCTGGGCGCTGCACGACTCGCGGTCTGATTTGCTGGAGAGGTTCTTCTTCGGGTTCCTCTTCGTCGGCGTCTCTGAAGTCGTTCTGGAAGTAGGTAGTCGGTGGTCTCGCAGTGGTGGGCCTGACGGGCGGCCTGGTCGGATAGTTGGGGATACCGTCGTCTCTCTCGCCGGATTCGGGAGCGGCGGACTCTGGTTCGTCCTCTTCGTTAGGCTTGTTGGGGTCGCAAGGGTTGCCGGACACGTAGGTGAACTCTCGCTTGTTGCCGTCAGGGTCGATGTAGCCGTATTTTCCTCGGACGACGCAGTCAGTGCCTCTCGTCTCCTCTTTGAAGGAGCCATCGGCCGCTTCGTATCCGAACGTAAAGCTGCCATCGTCATTCACCTGAAATTTGAAACGGTAGTTTTAAATAAAAACACCTTTAGCAAACACCATGTATTTCAATGATGCAATAAATAACGACTGACGATCTGACTACAAAATTGATATCATGGAATATTATGTTAAAGTGATATCTAGCAATAACTAAGCAATGTAAATTTTTCGAACACTTATAAGTAACTAGTGTAGATTAGACAAAGATATACTGACTTTATTGTAGTTGCGGATGGTCTGCACGGGTGGCTGCTTGGGCCCCTCGGATTGTAGCTGCTGCTGCTGCTGCTGTTGCTTGTAACGTGGCGGTGACCGCTGCGGTGCGCGAGGCTCGTACTCCTCATCGATGCGGTCTGACGCGCGGTACAGGTCGTCGTAATTATCCGCCTGGACAAGGACAACCTGCAAGTTTACAATTAGCCACTTGTAATAAATCCTAGATCTTGTCAAATGAATAAATTATGCATTTTCATATTTAGTGGGTTTTTATCTATTTGATACGAGTTAAGAACTGCAACTAAAGAAGATTTGTAGTCACTGTTTTTGATCTAAAAATAAGTAACAAAAGTGCATAAAACTAAAAGTATAATGATAAAATTTAGACTCACCCCGCCACCTCTCTGTGGCCCCTGGGGTTCATATTCGTAGGCGTCGTCCACGGGCTGTTGCAGTCGGGGCCTTGTGCGAGCCTCCAGCCCGCACGCCAGCACCGCCAGCACAGCACATAGCACCTGCAATAGTATACATTAGAATATAAATACAAGAAGTCATAATAAGTATGGAAGCTCGACATGGATTTTTCATCACAACTCTTTATAGTGTTTAATTCTCTCAACATTTTAAAGCCAAGACATCCAAATTTAACAAACACTAACGGAATGTTATTAATGTACAATCTTACGATACTATGGGAGAGAGTAAAGGAAACAATAATATATTATTTACTCGGACAATTTTGAGGTTTAATTTTAAACCGCATAAAGGTACAGCAAAATCATCAATTAAACGGTATCGTATTTCCGCGTATGTATTTTTCATAATTATACGACTCAATGGATGTACTTGACCTTTGACTACTCTTTACCTATAATTTGATTACGTGACTGAAGATAAATGTATAATTAAAGATTTAACATTTTTTCATGGTGCTTGTTAAAATTGAATAATATAATAATTATTGAAAGATATGAGAAATCTTTTAAACTACACAATACCTTTATTTATCACATCTAAGTCCGTATTCGCAAGGGACGTTAAAACGCATACAAATAGAACAATTTCATTTACATTCATAAGACAACGCGTTTAAAACAGGACGCTATTTTTTATGTCGCGCAGTGTTGCATTATTGAGCACTTGGCGAAGGAAACAAGAGTGGTTTAATAGTGTTCATCGCTTGAGAACCGCTAACGCAGAGTTTTAACGCGGGTTAAAAGCGCCCGTGCGAATGCGGACTTATTTATTTCATTAGTTACTTAATCAAAAAACTTAATGGCGAAACAATGAATAATAATTTCATAACTCTCCACCATTGTTCATTGGAACATGTCTTGTTAATGCTTTTATCTTGTAAATAGTAAGTGGAACCATAGAAAACATTTATAATAATTAACAAATAACAAGTAACATTAGGCTATAACTTAGGGTAGGGAGCCCCTTGGTGAGAACGTATAGTGAGCTGATGATGAAGGAATGATGATGATGAAGTAACATCAAGTGTTAGACATCTTTCAAGTATGAACTGTTGACTGCGTGAAAGGTGATGACGTGACGGCAGAAATAACGATGATACAGATCAATGTGGAAGACGAAAACATAGTTCATCCTCAACTAGAGTTCTTTAAGATCAGAGATATGACAATGAGCAAAGAATTCAGCAAAAGTCTGAAATATGTTGCTTGCGCATTACGCATTATTGTAGTCAGTCAAACAATTACGAAACACATTCCGACCTAGTCATACGATGTAATAGCAGGGCGTTGAAGGAAAAAGTAGAACTGGTGAATTTGGTGCGAGCGCATTACGTAAACCCGGCATAGTTTCTTTTATGGTGACTAGACGATATGGGACCACTTTATTTTTTTTAGTATAGTCATAGGAACTATACGGCTTGCAAACAAATATATTTTGTTGCATAAAACTATGAGTTTATGAAGATAGATGTTTTAGATATCTCCTTTCATCTATGTCTAGTTATTAGAAAAACCTTATGAACATACGTTTATTTTACAAGCATTTAATGAAATAAGTGAAAGTCTAGGGAGAAACTATTGCGCTTTGTGACGCATTTTTAGATTTAGCTAGAATAATTGTGAAAGTTAAATTTTATGTCGCACTGTACTATTACCATACATTGTTTCGTCATGCGACTGCGAACTTGTTATTTCTTTTATCTTTTTGAAACGCAACGAAATCACTGGAAATACATTGCAATAACTTTTACACGAGCTTTGTTTGATGTCGTAAAGTGTTAAAACGACACGGTTAATTATAACTGTCGACTGACGTTTTGCGTATTAGCACTTCTTTCAACATTCAGTTAGTTCATTGTTGCTTTTTATAAACGCTGAAAGTTGCTTGATATTTTTTAATTAAATTTTTGCTGTTAAAAAAGTCATACTAAATTTTTTTTAAACCAATTCCTACTTATAGCAATTCATTTTTAACTGTTTAGTTAATGTTTTGATTCGGGTTTTACCACATATTTCTGTTAGTCAAATCTCTTTATTTGGTACCCATGTTGGGGTGGTTTTACGTAAATATTTTTTTTTTTTTGCGGCGGCCATCTTTGTTTCTATCTATCTCGATCATAGTTCTTAAAGATCAACAAAGATGTATTAAATTGTAATAATAATAAGAGAAATCTGCAATAAGGGACTATTTACGATCAATTAAGGACAATAAGCAGTGTTTCAATAAAGTTCTGTTTCGTGTATTGTATAACTGTTATCCAGTGAAATGATATATTTGCGGGATATCTCCAAACTGTGGTGTAATGCGGTGATATCAGATGTCCAGAGCTGTGGCTACATTGACACCGCTCGACACTAATTCTCCCAGCTAATGTTATAATGTAACGACTCGTTACTAACGAGAGGTGCTATTTCGAAACCGATTTAAGGACGAATTCCCTTTCAAAGTTTTCAAATTAAGGTTATTTTAAGCCACGTGGTCGATAAGCTGGCATGAATAAGCCACATGGTCTTTTCGCTTATTTATAATGGCATTGTGATATGAATGCAATCAACTAGCATTTGTTTTTTTTATTGTAGATTTAAAAACTTGTTTGTCACCGATATGTATAATAAGTCTTCGTTTAACTTAGAATCTTTAAAGGTATTTTTCCTTTTAAGTTATGTTACTATTGTAACGCCTTGAAAGGGACGAACCAAGTTTAGATAAAACAGGTTTTTATAAAGTTCGTGTACTTTTCAACATTGACATTTATGAAAATAGTAAAAAAACATTAACTACTGCCATAGTCCAAAGTTATATTATAGTTCTTTTCAAATATCTTAGCGGTCCCAAGTTCATCGACGCGCTGCGCAGTGCTCTCCCCCCGTTTCCCACTACTCCACGGTATAGCTGTTGTGTGTTATGCGCAGTGATTGGCCTGTTGTTAAGAGCCGTCAAAATATCTGAAAACAGCAGTACTTATTTCTAGTAAAAAAGCAAGAATTAAGTGTGTATTTTTTCACATTTCTGTCATAGGTGTGGAAGTATTAGTGCGTGAAGTTACGAAGTTAGTGAGCTGTAATAATAAGTTACTTTGCGTCACACGCACACGCGTAACATTTACATCGATTTATAAATAATTGCTTTTTAATTTCGTTAAAAACAGCCTTTACCTCTACCAACCTAATCACAAAAATGTACCCAAATACTACCATGACAATAAAACTTAAATAAATCCTTCTTAATAGCAAGCAAGAAATGTTTGACATTTTAATTTAAAACACCATAAAATAATTAAGAAAAATATTTACAAATGAGTCTATTTGTTTTTTATTTAATGAGGTTACGGCTTATTAAGTTGTAAAAGTTCAGTTGAACCGTTAGATATTATCGCGCTGCTTGGCCAAGTGTTGGCGAATTTAATTTACATTAAAATATGCTCTGATAAGCCTCGGCCAAGGCTGCAATTATGTATGCATTGTAACTAACCAAACTAATTGCACTCATAAACGAATATTTACTAATTTAATTTTAAAAATAAATGTAGTAAAACATTACAATGAAAAATGGATGTTAAAATTAATCAGAAGAAATCATACCAAAGCAATGAAATACTTTAAATTAAAACGTCAGGTAAATATCAACTGTTTTCTATATTATTTAATGTGCTTTATTAAAATTAATAATAATTGTAATTTAAGGACTTAATATTCACGCGTAAAAATAATGATTCCATTATAATTAAAAAAAAACTCGTTTTAGAAACACTAGATGGCGCTGCACTGTGTAAATTCATATGTATAAATGCATGCAAAAATTCAATAATGTGCCTTATTTTATGTAATTTTGGTATTTAATGAAGAAGTCGGATATCTTCTGGTGAATGAGCTATTTTTAAATCAGTTATGAAAAGTTATTACATAATTTATTACATCCGAAATCCGTAACAAAATCACCAAACTGACGTATTATATTATATTTTCGCCTCCACTTTCCCCACGTTAACTTTATAACCTACAATTATGTCGACAATGTCGAAAGTGGACTGGCACGTCAAATCGCCATTTGATTGAAGCTATTTATTTGTCGTTTGGGAACTTCTTTGTGTGTGGTGTTGTCACTTTCAACGTGTGTATGTGTGTGTGTAGTGATGACAACTGCTACTAGAGGTCGCTGCTTGAAGCGCTCCGTGTATGACGATCCTTACTTGATGAATATGTTAAAAAGTGGTTGAAGTTTGTAGAAAAAAAATAGTTCTTAATTAATACTATACTCTTAATATTATTAAATATTAAAGTATATCCAAGACTAAACTTCGTCTCGGTTAAAAGTTTAAAAATGCAAAAATGCACCCTGTATTTTTCCTTTCGAAAATATTTTGTAACCCAGTTTAAATGAATTCCATTCATTACATTCGTTTTTGAATATCAGTTACGCAAGTTATTTGTGTACATAACTGTGATATATACCACATAATATCAACCTTCGAACATTCTTCATAACACGTTTCTTATATTGGGTAGAATATAACGATTTTTGTAAGTAAAAAAAATAAAAAAGTATGACATCACTAACTGAATCTTTAAAGTCTTTGTCATCTCGCCTTACAACCCTAAGGGCCATACCTATTTTATTCTACAAAAATCTGCTAATATTTAGCAGATTTTTGTTTATTACCAACTAATTTCTATGCTTGTGCCTTGTTTTACTATAATAGTCAAATGGCGGGATTCGAACCCCCGACCGCATGATCGGAAATCCGTACCTAACCATTAGGCTATTGACGCTTCCACTTTACCACAAGGAATCCAATTTAAAACCACTTAAAGAGTTATATGTAGCATATTATGGATCGCCACACGTTCGAAAGCGTTTTGCAGCAAATAAATCTATGAGAGTGGCTGCGTCGTGATCAGAATAACATAATAGATAACAATTTTCCCCTGTTCAGATAATAATAGTTCAACTACGTTGTGTGAATGGCTTAATATAACTTAACTATACTAGTTACATTACGTACTGCTTTGCTAAGTTATCGAGCTTAATATATTAACCT